TCAGGCTAGATCAGGTTGGGGAAGTTTTCTGTCATTATTTCTTTATACAGGTTCTCTGTTCCTTGTTCATCCTCTTCCCCTTCTGGTATTCCTGTAATGCGGATGTTTTTACATTTCATGTTGTCCCAGAGTTCCCTTAAGCTGACTTCCCGCTTTTTAATATTTTTTTCCTATTTGCTGCTCTGATTGGGTATTTATTTCTACCTTGTCTTCCAAATTGCTGACTCAGCCCTCTGCTTCCTCCAATCTACTTTTAATCCCTTCCAGTGTGTTCTTCAAATCAGACAAATCACTCTTCATTTCTGTCTGGTTCTTGTTCATAGCCTCTATTTCCTTTTTCATGCTGTTGTAATTTGTGCTAAGTTCTTTTTCTTTTTTTAAAAATATACTTTATTGATTTTTTACAGAGAGGGAGAGGGATAGAGTTAGAAACATTGATGAGAGAGAAACATCGATCAGCTGTCTCCTGCACACCTCCTACTGGGGATGTGCCCGCAACCAAGGTACATGCCCTTGACCGGAATCGAACCTGGGACCCTTCAGTCTGCAGGCTGACACTCTGTCCACTGAGCCAAACCGGTTAGGCCTGTGCTAAGTTCTTTAAGTTCTTTATAACCATTGCTTTGAACTTTATGTCTGATAGGTTGCTTGTCTTCATCTCATTTAGTTCTTTTTCTGGAGAGTCCTTCTTTTCTTTCATTTGGGGGTTGTTTCTGTCTCCCCATTTTAGCTGTCTCTTTGTATTTGCTCCTACCTGTTACATAGAATTGCTATGCCTCCAAGTCTTCGTGGGATGGTCATATGTAGAAAGTATCTTGAGGGGTCCAGTGGTGGTTTCTTTGTTCTGCTGAGCTGGATGCTCTAGGAATGCCTCTTGTGTGCATTGTGTTCTCTTGTTGTAATTGGGACTTGATTATCAATGTCCTATTTGTGGGAGGGATCTCCCCTCCAACTTGCCACCAGAGGTTCAACCCCAATGTCGTCATGCCAGCTGTCCAGTGTTCAGGGACTCCTTAGTCCAGAGCCTGGGTCTGCCTTGAGTCTCACACCTTGATTGACCCTGTTCTGAGCTGTGCTTCTTTCCCCCAAGGAGCTGGTTCCACAAGTGTCAGCTGCAAGTGTTTAGGGTCCTGCTGACTTTTGTCTGCCTGAGCAGTCTGGGATGGTGTTTGCAGTGGGGGACCCAATATCTGATACCAATTAGATCAGGCAAAGACTCAAAGCCTCCAGAGACCAGCCTCTGCCTGGAGACTGACGGAATTCAGTCTTGAATATCCTTGTGCAATCATCCACAGGTGGGGTGAGAGGTTTTCCAACAGGGTGGGGCAATTGCTTCTGCCTGGAGGCTAGTTGTTATTCTGTATCTTAATGGGCCTCAGAAACTCCACAGTGTGGGGCAAGGGACTTTCCAATAGGGTGGGTCAACTGTCTTCCCCCCAGGCAAAAACAGCAGGATAACAAAAGTTTGCCTGAGAAAGGTATAACCTCCACAGTGTAAGGGAATGACTCAGCACAGAAAACTGAGGTGTCTGCCTTCCGAGCTCTATCCCAGGATCCCCCAACCATGGCTTATGTTTATACAGCTCCAGTCCACTCTGCTCTCCCTCTACTGGAGCACAAGTTGAGTCGCTGCACATGGAATTTTGTGCATTGGCCCTGTACTAAATATAAGCAGGGTGCTTGTATTGCCTGCCATCTCTCCCTGGCAGGCTGCAACCTTGCTGCTTTTCACAGCCAGATGTTCTGTGGGTACCCTCCTCAGGTCTGGTGCTCTCTGCTGGGAAGCCCAGCTTGGGGATTAAACCCCAGAGTTCTCAGTGGGAACCCCCCACAGCTGAGATAACCCTCTGGGTCTTCAGCTGCTGTCTGTGGGAGCCTGGCCAGCCCTTTAGTACCTCTGCCCCTCCTACCAGTCTTTGTGCGGTCTCTGCTTTCCATCCTCGGTTATCAGGGTTCTCTCCAGCTGGTCCTCAGTTGATTATTCAGGGTGGTTTTTCTGTATTTTAGTTGTAATTCAATTTGGTCCTGGGAGCATGTCTGTTAGCTTCCACCTACTCCCAATATACATCCCTAGTACATTGTGTTTTTACCTTGCATTTCCTTAATTATTCCAAAGTTGCAACTGTCACAGTGACGACTCCTGAGGTGCTTGGGGGCTGACCTTCTACTCACTCCCTTCCCAGCCCCTTCCCTTCTTCTCCTTCACCAAAGGCAGGCATCTGCGGCCTCCTGCTGTGCATCTTCCTTGTGGTCTCTTGGGACCCAGTGTGCCTGAGTCACTGGGAGGAGCAACAGAGTCGTCTGAAACCTCTAACCCCCATGGCCAAGTGGGCTTCCAGGGGATTGTGTCCTTCGACTCTTTTATAAAAGTCAATTCTATCATCTCTAAAGGCAAAAATCGTCTGGAGGTTTAAACAGGACTACTGTGGGGACAGAGCTACTATTTCTTGACTAATTATTTGACTTAATTGTGAGCACTCACAAGTAAGCTATTTGGTATGTAGCCACTTTCACCAACAAACAGCTGGGCTCAGACATCAACAAGTCGTCTTGGGAATGTAACTTAGTGCTATTCTAAAAGGAAAAAACACACTCTAAGTCAGCAGTTCTCAACCTGTGCATCGCGATCCCAAATTTGGGGGTCGAACGACCCTTTCACAGGGGTTGCCTAAGACCATCAGAAAACACATATAATTACATATTGTTTTTGTGATTAATCACTATGCTTTAATTATGTTCAATTTGTAATAATGAAATTGGAGGTCACCACAACATGAGGAACTGTATTAAAGGGTCGCGGCATTAGGAAGGTTGAGAACCACTGCTCTAAGTACTGTGTGGGGTTTAATGAGCATGGTGTGTGAGTTGAACAAGCTGAGGGTATTGGAATTTTGCCTTCTTTACACACACACAAGAAAAAAATCTCTCCTTTGTTTTTACCCCAGGTTATTTGCAGGAGTCTTCCCGCGAATGGCAGCCATCAGCTTGGGAGGTTTCATCTTTCTTGGTGCTTATGACCAAACACATAGCATGCTGTTGGAGCTTGGCAGAGAAAGCCCATGAACCACACGCCCACAGCGGGCAGCTGTGAGCACTCCCCTCCTGCAGCCACACCTTCAGTGCGGAGGTGAGAGCTCCCCCTCCCGCAGCTGCCAGGCTCTCTGAACGTGCAGGCACTGAAGCCCAGTCCTGCAGATCCATGCGGAGCATGACTTCCAGGCTACAGGCGACTGGGATGATGTCATCTACGTATTTGCCAGAAGTTAAGAGAAAACGATGCCGAGAGCAGTACTTTTAACAATTTTCTCAGAACCCCTGAATAAATAAGTTTGGTGATGCTGAGGCCGGCCCCTCCGAGCTTTCATTTGACTGTATCTGCCCTTTCTTTCCTGACCTGGGAGCAGATAGAAGGAAGACAGAGAGGGTGTGCTTTTGGAGGAATGGCTAGACGAGGACAGGAGACTGTCAGACTGACTGACTTCTTTGTAAGCTCACAGCTTTGTTTAGAAAGAGTGACTACAGGTGGCTATGAGCTGGTAACCCGGCTGTTCTCGATGACCCTCAGATTTAACCCATGAAAACAGAATTGAATTTGACAGAGGTGTTCAGTGGCCCAGGTGATCTATGAAAGCAAGCCAGCAGTAGCAGCTCAGTGACCGGTCGGCCTCATGGCTGGAGAGCAGAGGGCATGCTGGGGCCAGGAGGCAGCTGGGCTGGCTTCGCAGTGTCATTTCTTAGTTCCCAATCAGTCAGCTTTGCCTGGAGTTTTGAGCTCACCACGGGAGACAAAGTGATGGAAGGGGAAGGTCCCCGTTTCAGAGTTTGACTGATAAGCTCCAGGAAAACGAGTCCCTGGAACCGTGTACTGCCGCCGGGAGCTACGGTGTGCGATCTGCTCTGCTAAGTCATTCACTGATCCCAAAGGTAAGAAAAGGCAGAAGGACTGCACTGTCAGGGCATTTCTGGAATTCAGTGCCTAGGCGCCGGAGGCAGTGCTGGTTAATGTACACATGACCCGAGCCGCACACTTAACATTTATAAGTGAACTTTATTAAAGACACTTCACTGCCGCTTGTTAGACACTTCAATATTTTACATGTTTTTCAATGTACATTGTACCAAAATTTCTATAAATAAATAACTTTGTACATAAAAGTAATACTTCCTCTTTCACATTGCCTCTCAGAAGCAGCAAATTCACATGTTGTGGAAGTAACATCAGTTAACTGTTGAGAACAAAATTCTAAATGTGCTTACCTTTGGAACAGTGATTATCTGACAGTACATTAACATAGTAACCATTTGTCAATACCTGCCTTCAGCGCGCTGGCTGAAGGACCTTGCTTTCCAAGCTTTTAAGGACCTTGTTAGTTTGAACGCAGTTTTTCCTCAAATACCCATCAGCACTCACAGGTGATCAGCTCCAGGCCTCACAAGTGCAAATCCCCCAGAACCCAAGGCACGGGCTCGTCTGTGCAAGGGAGGGACGCACACAGGGCGCCCGGATCCTCGTGGAGATAAGCTCGCTCGCCCTGAAAGTAAGGACTTGATCCTCGTTCTCCCCTAACACCAACATAACACTAATTCCATTGGCAGAACTAAAGCATCACTATTGAAAAATCCACAGGTACCAACAGCAGCGACCTCTCTTATTAGAAAGCCTCAAATGACAAGTGATCCTGACAGACATTCGCTTTTGTCACGGAAGGAAGAAGGCTTAATTGTTCAGACCAAAGGCTGTGGTGATTAACAACCCCCATCTTGCTCGTTAAGAAAGAGCTCGAACCCATGAGGAAAGTCACTCAGTGCAGAGTACGTGACGTGAACAGGTCTGGGTGCAGGGAGGTCTGCGAGGAGCACCCACTGAGCAGGACTGACGTGAAGTCACTTCCGATGCAAACCCAGCTCTGCCTGTGAAGCATCCGGGTCTGCCCTGCCGTGTGCGATGGAGTCCGAGGGCTTCCTCCTCCCCCCCCCCCCCCCCCCCCCCCACACCCCAGAAGAAATGTGGTTTTTAGCGTCTATAAACTCCATCCATACATTAAGGCACCAGAACTATCCCCACATTCCAAAATGAAACAGCAACCTGGTAAGAAAAATATTGTCAAAACTGTACGATTTTTTCTGTTAACCATGCAATAAAGATTAAAATATCCTTTGTAAAAGATATATAATATATATGAAATCTCTGAAAACTCTTATGTACACAATAGCCTCTTGCATTCCGTGCTTCAGCTGCAAGTCCTTTAAACTACGGACACTCCCCTTGGAAGTTAAAACTGTACAGAGTGACGCTTGAACCCAAGCTTCCTCACAGTGCCTCCCTCTCCTCCCTGGAGACAGACAGCGCCTAGGCCCGCGGGGCGAACAGCAGCGGCCCGCTCCTCTTCCCGGGCAGCTGTCCTGTCAGTGGCGTGGACTCGGGACCGGAGTCACCTGCTTTGGGGATGTGTCCATTCAGCAGAAGCAAGCGCCGACCTTCGCTGGGGGCGTCGGGAGAGTCCAGGACGGCTCGTGTGAGCTCAGAACTGCCCTGGGTCACTGTCGAGGGCTGGGGGTCTATGCAGTCCGGCTCACACACCCCTGCGAACATCCATGGAGGGGCCCCTGCAAGAAAGGAGGGCCCATCAGACCTGGCCTGGCGTTTCCGTGCTGCCCCCTGCTGGGGACGGGAAGGCATGAAGGCTTACCTTTCCCCTCTGGAGGCGCCCCGGGCTTTCTCTTCCAAGGCGGCAGCATTCTGTCGTGGTTACTGGGGTAGAGGGACTCCCTGCAGTCGGGGGGAGACCCATCACCAGCCCCACTGTGGAGACTGTCCAGACGTGGAGAATGTTCTCGGTCACTCCCACGGGGTTCCTGGCTGCTCAGTGTACCTGGCTGTGTACTGTCCCTGGACGTCGGCTGAGGACAGAAGGCGTGTTCCTTGGAATAACTGTCCACATCAGTGTGGCTGTCACTGCTTACAGCGGGGCCACTGGGCTCTGCAAGACAGTGGAGACACTCAGCACCAGCGCCTGGGCCTCCACCCAGAGCCTGCTGCCCCCCTGCACCGGGGCGGGCCGCTGAGATCACTACAACCCCTTGGGGCTAAGGATGGGGTCTTCCATGTTTACTTCAGATTTAATTTCTTCATCAGACAACTGGGATCACAGGAAGAAACCCTATTTGAATGGCTCCTCGCAGCATCAGGAGCTTCTGACCATCAGCAAGGAGCCTCCACAGGGCCCTGCTGAAAGGTCGGGCCTGGCGCTTCACTGGCGTTGCTTACATATCTGGAAAGTCTGTGCCCACAGGAGTATTTTAGAGACATCCTACTCACACTCAGAGAGCCAGGCCCCACACCACTTCCTGTTTGGATATGAAAACCCAATCCTGGGATGGCCTTAGACCCATAATGCCTCTCTCTGAGGTCAACCCAGATTGGGATCTGAAGAACAAAACACTTCTCCTGAGAAAGCATCTCACCCATCTTCTGTGGACCAGGTGTGCCAGCGGCTTTCTCTGTCGCTCTCCACGGCTCCTTGCTGTACCCAACACAGAGCCGGGGCGGCCTGCACGCGATGCTGGGAGCATCGGCCTCTGGAAAGAGGCCTGCGTCTCTCGGACAGACACCTGCAACAGAGTTCCACTGTTGGAAGCGCTGGGCTCAGCATTTCCCGGGCACACTAATGAAAAGAGTGGGCGTCACTGCTAGAAGACAGGCGTTTCTAGAACGCCCCTCCGAGGGGTGGCCCAGGCTCATTACTGAGACTCCTTCCCAGTAGCAGGCCTGCCGCAGCCGCACAGGAGGCCCTGGGGGCCAAGCTTGCCGAGCACACGCTGTCCCCCACGAGTGGCTTGTGGGCGCGCACGAGAGCTGCTGAGAGGAGACAGGGCTCTTAGCAAGAGACGCTGAGCCCCATGGAAGGACTTTCTGGAGGGGCGGGGTTTTAAGCTTTGCAGAACTTGCACAGGGAGGTCCAAAAACCCAACAGGCTCCAGTCACCTGCCTCCCAGGTCAAACATGCTCAATGTAATGCCATGGGAACAGTTGCATCAGACTTGGTGGCTTTACCATTGCTCTCGACGTGCCCATTGGCCTGATGGCCACCCTCAGTCCTGAGCACAGTGTCCTGTCGGTCAGAAAGGGTCCCCTGAGAAGAGAGGTAGCTCGGAACATCCGGTGGCACAACGGTCTCATCTGCAAGGAGACAGGGCAGTCACCCCCAGGTCCCAGTCCTCTGTGGTGACAAGGACACAGACACAGGACCCTCCCCACCACCCCCATGGCAGCAGTCACAGCCGTGCAGAACCTGGAGTCCTGCTCAGGAGGCCTCCCCAGTGCACTTCCCAGCCAGGTGTGAAAGGTGTGGCCATCAGATCCGAGTGCACAGACAGAAAGCAGTGATGGGAGAGAGTCAGAGCTGATAGACACAGAGTCGCGCAGTAACGGCCCGCCACGGCAACGAGGCACACGTCCAGGACGCCTCTGACCACCCCAGGTAGGAGCCTGCAGCGCTCACGGTGCTGCACTTGACAGTCTTCCCATTAAACGTCCCATTCCTGGGAGTTAAAACAGTGCCAGGCACACTAAAGCTCACTGTCCAGAATGGCTCCAGGTTCCCCAAGGTTCTAGAGCAGCGGTTCTCAACCTATGGTCGCCAACCTGTGGGTCGAGACCCCTTTGGGGGTCGAACAACCCTTTCACACGGGTCGCCTAAGACCATCAGAAAACATATAATTACATATTGTTTTTGCGATTAATCACTATGCTTTAATTATGTTCAATTTGTGACAATGAAAATACATCCTGCATATCAGATATTTACATTACGATTCATAACAGTAGCAAAATTACAGTTATGAAGTAGCAACAAAAATAATTTTATGGTTGGGGGTCACCACAACATGAGGAACTGTATTAAAGGGTCGCGGCATTAGGAAGGTTGAGAACCACTGTTCTAGAGTTTGCATATACAGGAAGCCCTGGCCCAGCCTTCCCAACTGTCCCTGCTTTCCTCCCCCGGAAGCCAGCCGCCAGCAGGGCACCTGTGTTGGTGACACTGTACTCCTCCCTCTTCCGCCTGGTTTGGTAGATGATGCACACCCAGACTAAGGACGTCAGGACCACGCTGCACACCACAGCGATGGTGAAGATGCCCACGGTCGTCCCGTCCTTCCTGCAGCCAGGGCTGGGCAACACACTCAGCTGGCTGTGCGCCCGCTCGGTGCCCAGGGCATTGGACATCTCACAGGTGTACCGGCCCGCATCCTCGGCCCCCACGTTCTGCACAACGAGCAGCTGGTTGCCGGGGGTGAAGTGGTGACGCTCGGTGAGGCTCAGAGGGCGGTCCCCTTTGAACCAGGTGATGCGGGGCGGGGGGCTCCCAGCCGCCTTGCACTGGAGCGCCACCGTCTCCCCTGTGGACACCACACGGTCTTCCAAGGGCACCGCCAGGGATGGGGTCTCTGCAAAGCAGAGACAGGACCGTTATTCTGTGGGCCTTGGGCTCCTGGACAGACAATCCAACTCATTAGCAAAGGCCGCACGAGACCTTTCACCAGAGGGCAAACTTTCTGGGCCCTGCTAAACTGGCCAAGTCTTTCCCAGGTGAGGTGGCTGCAGCAAGGCAAACGAGCTCCCACCTACTGTCCCCAGCTCTCCCGTGACGGCCCGTGTCCCCATCTGCAGTCCCAGCTCTCCCATGACGGCCCGTGTCTCCATCTACAGTCCCAGCTCTCCCGTGACGGCCCGTGTCTCCATCTACAGTCCCCAGCTCTCCCGTGATGGCCCGTGTCCCCATCTACAGTCCCAGCTCTCCCGTGACGGCCCGTGTCTCCATCTACAGTCCCAGCTCTCCCGTGACGGCCCGTGTTTCCATCTACTGTCCCCAGCTCTCCCGTGACGGCCCGTGTCTCCATCTACAGTCCCCAGCTCTCCCGTGACGGCCCGTGTCTCCATCTACAGTCCCCAGCTCTCCCGTGACGGCCCGTGTCTCCATCTACAGTCCCCAGCTCTCCCGTGACGGCCCGTGTCTCCATCTACAGTCCCCAGCTCTCCCGTGACGGCCCGTGTCTCCATCTACAGTCCCCAGTTCCCCCGTGATGGTCGGTGTCTCCCTGTCCCTTTCAGAGCAATTCTCATCTAGTGTTTTATACCTAAGCCCTATTTTATTAAAAAAAAAAAATCTTATAAAGCAGCCTAAAATATTCAAGTATGAACCACCAGCACACTGCCCACACCAGGCTCCACAAATGGTTGAAGAATATGGACTCTAGGTATCTGTGAAGTTTAAGAAAATCTGTCACCCACACCCACACGTATACACCGAGTGTAGCCGCAGGCGAACCTAGGACAGTCAGGGTGGCGTTGGCCGAGATGGAGCCAGCCAAGTTCTGGGCGGTGCAGCTGTAAACCCCCATGTCATCGAGCTTCACGTCCGTGATGAAGAACACGTCATCGTCAGGCATGACGTGCATGCGTCGCTCACGAGCGGCGGGGAAGTCAGTGCCTCCATCCTTCTGCCAGGCGATCTGGGGGTTAGGGTGGCCGGTGGCAGCACACTCGAGGCGGGCCATGGTGCCAGTCCGGATGGCGATGTCGTGTGGCATTTTGGTGAACGATGGTAACACTGTAACACAGTCAGGTCAGGTCACGGGAAAGCCAGAGCCACGGACAGGAAAACCCTCAGGCAACAGCCCTCCCATGTCTGGGTGTCGCTCGCCACTTTACCACCCTGCGTGCCAAGGTCTGCCTACCCCCAGGAAAGCCACCTTGGAATGAGCAGCTGCAGGTCCCCCACGCTGTCGGCTGCTCGTGGCCACAGCAGAGCACTTCCATCAGTCTCTCTGGTACCCGCCCCTCGCATGGTAATCAGTCTGTCCCAGGACACCCCGTGAATGCAGGCCTGGTGCCTGCCCACCTTAAGTACCGGCAGGAGAGCCTGGGAAACCAAACTGCTACTCCAGCAGGAGGCACTGACGGGAGGGGGAGGTGCCCGCCCTTGCCCCTGGAGAAGCGGGAGAGCTCCCTCCTGAAGTCCTGTCTGGAGGGTGTGGGCCAAGGCCCTGCACACAAAGCTGAAAGCACTTGTCCCACACGTTGACCCCCCCCCCCCCCCCCCCCCACGGTCAGCATCCAGCACGGCCTGTCAAGGTTATTTGCTGGAGAGGCTAACAGCTCACTGAGTTTTTGAGAAACAATGAGGATTCCCCCAGAAAAGCCAAAAGAACCAGCCAGTGTGGTGACGGGTATGTTTTCCTGTGGTCTGCAAGGCCCTGAGAACGCACTGGTTCCAGCACTTTTTAATTAGAAGCTTAATAATCAGGGACATCTCATTAGGCTAAGGGGGGTTGGGTGGCTAACTCCTCCTCTGCCCTAAACAGTTGTGAAGAAGCCAACCTGACAGGCTCCGAGACTGTGTCCCCAGTGAAAACCCTTGTCAAACACCCGCAGGACTGACTGCTTGCCCTCAGGTTGCACTCACACCAGCCTTGCCCTCCACAGCCTCTGGGAGGCGGGCGCGGCTGCCCCACCGCTGGCTGACCTGCCCCGGGCTGGCCTCTGCTCCAAGGCTGTGCCATCTACTCAGAGGGCGCGGCCACTTCCCCAGGATCAGGTATCTTGGATCTGGATACCAGACATTTGTTTTATGGAGGATAATAAATGGATAAAAAAAAGGCTTAGGCCCACAATTTCACTTAACATAGTAAGTGGACAAAAGTTATTTTATCCCCAAAACAAGGACTCCACTGAGAATCTTCAAAGCTTCCCTGGGGCCCACCCAGGCAATGGTGACGCGCGTGCAGGCCATCTCAGTCCTCCGCACGGTAACAGAGGACGGCCACGTGTGGATGTGCAGGAGCCGAGCACAGGGCAGCCGGGGGGTGCCTGCGTACCGTTCACAGTGAGCCTGGCCTTGTGCGAGTAGGTGGAGCCGAAGTGGTTGGTGATGATGCACTGGTAACGGCCCTCGTGCCCGAAAGTGACGTGGCGGAGGTGCAGGATGGTGGTGTACTCCATCACCTCCCCGTCCTGTGCCCGCACGTGGGCAAAGTTCTCCATGTCGGCGTCGGCCAGGACCTCACTGTCCTTCTTCCAGGCAAAGGTCATGGGGGAGCTGCTGCTGCTGGCTGCCGAGCACGTGAACCGGACGTCCCTGCCCACCACGGCCACCGTCGTCTCCGGCTGGGTGATGATCTGTGGCTTTGGCAAGTCCTCTGGGGAGAGAAGAGCCACTGTAAGTCACCAGGCACTTAGGACCCAGAGGCACCAGCTGCCGTTCCACAGGGACAGCACGTCCTCAGCTCCACCGAACACGGGGGCACTCCCACCTGGGGAGCCTGCCTCGTCCAGTTTTACACCCACGAGTGGCGATCGCCTCGGAAGTCACGCACGCCTTGGTCACAGATCAGTCCACTGGTGCTCCACCGCAAAGCACCCAGCGGGCTCCCTAAGGCTGCAAGCAGCTTTACTTGCTCATTTAGCACACTGAACAGTCAGGACCTCCCGGATGAGAATGCACAGGCCTCATCACAAGCTTTCCTCTGAAGCACTCGCAGGTGTCAGAACGCAGACTTGTGAAAATACGCACCTCTGTCAGGGCAAGGAAAGCACCAGCAAAAGGGTCAACTGCTTCAGAATTCTGGAAAAAAGTTATTTTATCCCCAAAGACTCCACCAGAGGCTACAACAACCCATGGGGTGTGGTCAAGAAAATGCATGAATCTCTAGAAGAAAAGTGAACTTTGTGGTATTTTATCCTGCTCTCCAGCTCTGTGGTATCCTGGGAGCCCAGCTGCTAAGCAATCACTGAAGGGCAGGATGGGTTTGGAGCCTCCCCCTAAGCCCACCCTCAGGTGTGTCTTTATCTGACCGATGCCCTGTGCTCAGCAAGGGGAGCCCCACCCTGAGGGCATCTGATGAAATCAGCAGCCTGGTGGGCAGTGATACCACTGGGGCACCAAGAGGCTGGTCGGAAACAGAAATGGAAACCAGGCGACCGAAGTGCTGACCGGGCTCTGGAGAGGTCCACCATGTTCCTGAGGACCGAGAACGCATGTGCAGGGCTGTGTGCCCCCAGCAAGGGCCTGGAGGCCCAATTCCTCGCCTGCAACCGGCCCTAACTGAAGATCCGTGCAAACAGAGTGATGCTGGGCAAAGGACGGAGACTTCCTGGTTGACGGGACTTAAGGATGTAACCAGGGAGACCTCAGTGGCTACACAGACAGGATTTATAACATCTGTCCAGAAAGTCACTGAACAAACAAGCGAATTAACAGGACAACAGTACACCTGGGGGACGAGAGGGACACTGATTTCCAGTTTCCATATTTTATTTTATTTTATTTTTAATATATTTTATTGATTTTTTTATAGAGAGGATGGGAGAGAGATAGAGAGTTAGAAACATCGATGAGAGAGAAACATCGATCAGCTGCCTCCTGCACATCTCCCACTGGGGATATGCCCGCAACCCAGGCACATGCCCCTGACCGGAATCGAACCCGGGACCCCTCAGTCCGCAGGCCGACGCTCTATCCACTGAGCCAAACTGGCTTCGGCCAGTTTCCATATTTTATTTTAAATGTTCGGTTTTCAACCAAAAACTACAAAGCACACAAAGAAACAGGAGAAAAAAATCAACAATGTCCTCAAGGAAGCTCAGATCTTGGCTTTAGTAAAGAAAGACTTTAAATTGGCTTTGTAAATATGTCCAAAGAACTAAAGGAAACCAGGTCTAAGAAAATTAAAGGAAAGTATGCAAATACTTTCCTACCAAATAAAGAATACCAATAAAGAGATATAAATTGCAAACATGATCCAAATCTAAGTGTTGGAGTTTAAAAGTATAATAACTTAAATGGAAAACTCACTAGAAGGGCTCAAGAGCCAAGCTAAGTGGGCAGAAGAGTCAGTAAACTTGAAACAGGTCAATTGAGAGAATCCAGTCTGAGAAACATCACAAAGGAAGAATGAAGGAAAGTGAAGGGAGCCACAGAGGCCTGTGAGACCGCACTAAGCATGCAAACACTGGGAGTCTAAGAAGAAGAAAGAAAAGCAGCAGAAACAATATTTGAAGAAATAATGGCCCCAAACTTTCCATAGTTGGTGAAAAACATGCATCTACACATCCAAGAAGCTCAGCAAACTCCAAATAGAATAAATTCAGAGACCACACCCAGGTGCATCACAGTCAAGCTGCCAACAGAGAATCCTGAAAGCAGCAAGGTCAGCAACTCATCACACACAAGGTACCTTGGTAAAGTGACAGCTAATCTCTCACCAGAACCACGGAGGTCAAAGGCAGCAGGAACACACAGTCCAAGCACTGGAAGAGAGAGAATGCCAAAGAAGGATCCTACATCCGGCAAAACCATCCTTTCAAAAATGAAGGCGAAAGTAAATTATTCTCAGGTTTAGAAAAAAAACAGAAACCTAAGACAATTCATTGCTACCAGACCTACTTTACAAGAAATACAGAAGGAAATCATTCCGGCTGAAATGAAAGGGTAAGAGCAGAAAGGAGAAGACTCAAACTTTGGAATTAAAGAAGGGACATTACTACCAACTTCACAGCAATGAACAAGGATACAGGGGCTACTGTGAATAACTGCCCACAAACTAGACAACCAGTTTGAAATGCACAAATTCTGAGGAAGACACAAGCTACCAAAACTGACTGGAGAAGAAATGCATAATTTGCATAGTTCTAACAAGTAAACAGACTGAATTAATAATTTTAAAACTTCCCACAAAGAAAAGCCCAGACCTAAAAGGTACTACTGTTGAACTTTACCAAACATTTAAATAAGGATTATCAGCAATCTTTATAAACTCTTCCCCAAAAACGTATTAGGAGGGAACACTTCCCAGCTCCATTCTCTGAGGCAAGTATTTTATCTGTTAACAAACCAGACAAAAACATCACCAAAAACAAAAAAACTACACACCTTTACAAGTGAAAACTCAACAAAATCCTCAACAAATATACTAGCAAAACAAATCCCACAACATGTAAAAAGAATCATATAGCATGAACGAGCTGGATTTATCCCAGCAATACAAGGCTGGCTTAACATCCACAAATCAAGGCATTACACCATTATCAAAAAAATAAAGGTAAAACCCACCTGATCTTATCAACAGGTGCAAAAAAAAGCATCTGGCAAAACCCAACACCCTCTCATGAGAAAAGCTGAAATGTTTTTATGAACAAATTATAAATAGAAGGGAACTTCCACAACTTGATAAAGGTCATCTAAGAAAAATCCACAGCTAACATCAGACTTAATGGTGAAAGACTGAATGTTTCCCCCTAAGAGCAGAAAAAAAGACAAGGATGTCTACCCTCATCACTTCTACTCAATAATGTACTGGAGATTCTAGCCAGAGCAATTAGGCAAAAATAAATAAGTAAAAGAGAGCCAGACTGGAAAAGAAGTAAAAGTATCTTTTTCCAAATGGCATGATGATCACATATAAAGAAAACCTAAGGAATTTACTGAAAAACTATTAGAACTAATAAATTATTTCAACACAGTTGCAGGATACAAGATCAACATATAAAATTCAATTGCATTTCTATGCACTAGCAATGAAACTTTAAAAATGAAATCAAGAATACCATTTAAAATAGCTCCAGAAAGAATTTTTAAAATGTGTACAATGAAAACCACAAAACACCACTGAAAGAAATTACAGAAGAGCTACAAAACAACAACAAAAACCACACGAAAAGCCATCCCACTTTCATGAATTAATATTAAGACAGCAATACTCCCCAAATTAATGTACAGGTTCAATGGAATTCCTATTTCAAAATGCCAATTGTGTCGATTGCAGAGGTTGACAAGCTGATCAAAAACTTTATAGGGAAATGCAAGAGAACCACAATAGTCAAAATATTCTTCAAAAAAACAAAAGTGAAGTCTATGTGGCAACTAAAACCATAAAACTCTTAGAAGGAAAGGCTCCGTGGCCTTGCCTGAGGCAGCAGTGTCTTAGATCTGACACCAAAAGCGGAAATGGCAGGAGAAAAAATAGAGAAACTGGACTTTATCAAAATTTAAAACTTTTGTGCCTCAACCATCAAAAAATGGAAAAATAATGCACAGGTTGGGATAAAATATTGGCAAGTCATATATCTGATGAGGGTCTAAATCTCGATATATAAAGAACTTTTCAGCTCAATAAAAAGACAAACATAAGCAAAGGATCTGAACAGCCATTATTCTAGAGCAGATTGTGTGTGTGTGTGTGTTCAATGACGATATGAAAACATGATCAACAGCAGTCATTAGGGAAATGCAAATAAAACACAATGAGCTCTGGCCAGTGTGGCTGTTGGTTGGAGTATCGTCCTGTACACTGAAAGGTGGTGGGTTCGATTCCTGGTCAGCACACGAACTCAGGGTGTGGGTTCAATCCCCCATTGAGGAATGTGCGGGAGGCAACTGATCGGTGTTTCTTTCTCCCCAACCCCCACTTCTCTAAAATCAATGAAAAACATATCCTCGAGTGAGAATTAAAAAAATATATAGTGGAAAAAAAAAACAACGCACACTGAAAATCCACTTCACATCAACTATTATAGATAAATTAAGAAGTAACAAATGCTGACAAGGACGTGGAAAAAGCGAAACCCTCATACACTGTCGGTGGCTATGAAATGATGCAGCCACTTTGGAAAACAGTTGGCAGTTCCTCAAAAAGTAAAACAGAGTTGCCATATGACCCAGCAATTCCACTCCTACTTATGTACCCAAAAGAATTCACACAAAACTTGGACACAAATATTCATAGCAGCATTGTTTACAATAACCAAAAAAGAGGAACAACCTAAATGTCCATCACTGATAATGGATAAATAACATGTATATCCATACAATGGATTATTATTCAGCCATTTATAAGAATGAAGTACTGATACATCCTAAAAAATTATGCTGTGAAAAAAGCCAGGCACAGAAGACCACATATTGTACGGCTCCATTGACATGAACCATCAAAAATACATAAAACAGAGAGATGGAAGCAGAGCAGCGGCTGCGGGCCTGGGACATGGAGCACATTTAGGGGTGACGAAAACCTTTTGGAATTAGTAGTGAGGGTTACACAACTTTTCAGTATTCTAAAAACCACTGAATTGTACACTTTACAGGGGTGAATTTTATGGTATAAAAATTCTATTTATCTTTAAAAAAATAGCTTTATTGAAATAGAATTCACCTGTTTAAAGTATGTAATTCCATGGTTTGTACTATATTCACAAATATGTGCAACCATCATCACAGTTGATTTTAAAAACATTTTCACCACCTCCAAAAGAAACCCCATGCCTGTTGACCACCATCCCTTCTCCCACCGTCCCCCCAGCAACCACTGATCTGCTTGCCACCTGCACTGGTTTTCCTATTCATGTGACCGCAATCCTACAACATGTGGTCTTTCGTGAGGTTCGTCTGTGTTGTATGCCTGACTCCCTCTGTGATGGCCCAGTGACATCCCACTGCATGGCTACGCCACGTTTTATCTGCCCATTCAGCACCTGGTGGGCACTGGGTTAGCTCCACTTTTTGGCTATTCCGAGTCCTGTTGCTATGAACCTTCGTGCACAGGTGTCCATGTGGACGTCCGTTTCCATCTCTCTGAGTAGAGAGCTATGAGTAGGATTGCTGTTTGGTTGTTTAAGGAACTGACAGACTGTCTCCAAGCGGCTGCACCATTCCCCCGCCCCAAGGGGGCTCTGTCTCTCCCCACCCGCACCCTCACTTGTTATCTGAACTGATTCCTGTGGTCCTTCTAGTGCATGGGTCCTCAGACTTTTTAAACAGGGGGCCAGTTCACTGTCCCTCAGACCTCTGGAGGACCGGACTATAGTTTAAAAATAAAACTATGAACAAATTCCTATGCACACTGCACATATCTTATTTTGAAGTAAAAAAACAAAACGGGAACAAATGCAATATTTGTATTTGCATGTGGCCCGCGGGCCGTACGTAGTTTGAGGACCCCGCTCTAGTGGGTGTGATGCTCACATCTCCATCTTATAAAAAATGAATGGGAGACTAGCACAGAGCTTGCACCTTTGCTCTCTGCCAGTGTTTCCATGGCTCCCACCCATACCCGATGACACCTGGGTGGGAGCCCAAGGGGTAAGAGGTGCTACAGCCCAGAACATGCCAGGGCCACAGGCTGGAGGCTACATGCGACATATAAAGGGAAAGGAGAGGGAGAGAGGGCAGAGCACTCGACCTCAGAGAGCTCTGACCATCCTGGCGCCCTAAGGACCAGGCCCTGAGGAGCATCTGCCCCAGGGGTGAGAGCCACGTGCACCCCACCTTCTGCACGGAGCTCCCAGGAGACTGATCAGTAAGAAAAGCTGCTACCGCGTTGGCAGGGTCTTTAAGGCTGTGCTGGACTGATCGGGAGAAAGGTGGGCGGGCACACGGCTATGACTGTGCGCACAAAGTAGGGCCAAGAAGTAGCCCACAGGGGCCCCCATATCACTAGGGGTGCTCCTGGGTATGATCACCAGAGCAGGGACCGGAGCTCGGGCAGACGGGGAGGAGCGATGGAGGCAGCTGGACTCATGCTGGCCCAGCTGCTCCAGGCAGGCCTGGGACCCCCACCCGCTTCGCTCCTGCTCAGAGCACAGACCAGGAACAGCGCACAAGTGGTCATTCTCGGAACACGTCTCCCTGGCCACGGCACTATTCCTATCTGCGCTGGAGCCCAACCACCCCTGGGCAAGAGCTGCGTTCCAACAATCAGAAGGAAAAGGAATTTCAAGCTACAAGTGCAGATTCAGTGGTTTGAGAAACAGCAAGAGGGCAAGTCAACATGAAGGAATTATTTTTACTACAGCGCATGTTCTCCTGGGACTCGTTCTTCCTGCATTTAACCTTTCATTCTTGGGGTTGGAAAGAAACACATTAAAACCCAGGCTCCGACACTGAGCAAATCCATAGCCACACCAGGCCCCAGAGCCCTCCTGAAATAACAAACTATCTTCCTGTAACTGATTACTCTGATTTGTAACTGAACCACCCCACTCCCTTCTGCCTAAAGCGTGGACTCCAAGAGCCGCATAAGGAGGCGGCCTGGCCGTAAACACCACGTGTGGTTTCCGTGGGAGGCAAGCAGCACCCAGCAGCTGATGGAAACCGCTCTGGTCACAGGAACCACCCCATGACGAGCTCCTGGCTCCGCGCCCGGCACGGGAGACGACCACAGACGGGCTTACCACACACGAAACTCTCCGGGGGCACCGAGAAGATGCTCTGGCCCTGCAGCGCTTCCGGGTGGGCGCAGGTGGCGGTCACGGAGGCCTGCAGCGTCCGGCCCAGCAGCCACGAGGGCAACCACCGGAGCTGGCAGTCACACAGGAAGCTCTCGCTGCTGATGCGGCTGCAAGAGAAACAGAAATGCTCAGCGCCACAGCGACCCGTCGCCTGGTCAGCTTCTGCCGCTCGTGCAGCAGGTTGATGGGCATGGTTCCCTCCCGGTCCCTCTGCGGCCACAGGCCATCCACCTGGAGATGCTGGTAAAACGCAGCTTCTGGCTGCGTAGGCGGGGTGGACCCACGACCCTGCATCTAACACGCTCTGGGTGACACTGGGACGCGGGCCCGAGCACCACGTGCACAGCACCAGCCGCGTTCAGACACGTCCTCCGACCGCCATGCTCTGCCGTGACCGGGACGCTCACGCTCCGGGCCTGAGAGCAGGGCTCCTGGTGAACAAGGGAGCCGCAGGGGGCCTGGGACCGTGATCTCCATGCTGCACCAGTTCTGCGGAGGCGCCACCTCTACACGACGGTCCCTTGTCTGGCAGGGCTGCGTGTTTCCTCGGAGGCGGGCCTGGCCCACACTCGTCCGCCCGCGTCGCTGCGCCAGCACCAGGGAGGCCTGCGGCTCCGCTCCCAGAGCTGAGCTCACCGCGCTGCCGGGGCATGGGAACGCGCCACTTTGGTTTTGTGAGGCTCCAACCAAAACAGAGAATATTTTCATTTTCATTTCTTAGCAATTGAGGCTCCGCCTTTGAACAGAAATCGGAATCGCCATCTCTGGACATTCCTTCCTGCACAGTCACTCGAAGACAAGCCAACCCAGGGTCTCACTGCCCTGTTCCCAGGCCCAGGAGACACCGGGGCTCCTGGTCACACCCCGTCCCCAGGACACGCGTGCCTGGAAACTCCAAACGTGACAGGGGCCAACACCACGCCATCAGCCTCCGTCTCACCCACCATCTTCCTCCGACGCCGGCACAGCTCCCTTGTTTCACTGTGGCTGCTGAGGTCACAGCCAGGGAGCGAGGCTGCAGCCGCTCAGCCACATCACACCTTCGCTTCCCGCCCCTCCTGCCGGCCCTGGTTAGCGGGGCATCTTCACTGACCAAGCTTACTTTGGGAAGAATCTTTTTAAAGACAGAGCAATTGCCTCAAAGCCATGATAAGTGGGATGCTGGCCCAGGTCAGACCTTCAAATCAGCATTAGCTTTTATCTGAACTTGGGGGGCAGGTAGCTCTGTGCTTAGACCTCGGGGGGCTGTTCTGCTGCAGAGTCAACGGCCTGGTGACGAGGGGAGCGCTCCCTGTAAGGAGCTCACGGGTCCCCCCAGGAGGGGTCTGGGTGCCGCCCCTTCCTCTCAAGCAGCAGGACGGCCTGGTGCTCGGACATGTGTCCAGCCAGACACTGGGCCTTCCGGTGCGGCGGTCGGCACCCAGAGGGGGACAGGGACCGATTTCATCTGAGCCACAGGAACACACTGGGACACTGTCCTGGGTGAGAAACGTGTGTGGAAAGGGTCAAGCCTCACACCACACACTCAGCGTCCCTGCGTCCCATCCTGAGGGCTTCCCCATCCTCCACAATGAAGCGCCCTCGGGAGCCCAGGCCGCAGAAGCTACCGGCACTCGGCGGAGAGAAAGCCTTCGTGAGGACCAACAGGACAGAGGGCGCTGGGCCCTGGCCTCTGCCCACACACACGAGTTACTGCAAAGAAAGGCTGGGCTGAGACTGGACAAGGACCCTGCCAGCACCCCGAGGCCCTGCCGACTGAACGCCTACTACCCCAACTCTAACGCAGCCTCGCCAACGTCCTCCGCGGCCGCCTCCAGCCGTCCCAACACTCTTTCCGCGGCTCCCTCGTGCATCTCATGACTCCAACTCAGAGTGTGTTTCTAATCATCACTGTGGAAATTTACCCAGAGGATGACTAAGCACACAGTACAACCTGCCTTGATCTGATGGGGAAGAAAATGACCAAGTGGAATTCACCGTTTCTCCAGCAGAAGGCTGGGCCCGGGGCCAGGCACAGCTGGTACATGCAGTGACTGATGGGAAACGCAGGCGGAGGGCCAAGCTGTGCCTCCGGCCCGCAGATGCGGGGGTGGGAGAGCCATGTCCCGCACCTGGGAGTGTGCAGCTGCTTCCAACTAGAACGCTGTCTCAGGAAACCGCAATTTTTAGAAGGCCAAAGGGACATCTTATCTCCTGTCCTTTCCTTTCTCTCAAATATCCTCTTCCCACTTACTTAGATATTTTTAACATTATAGTTGAAAAGTTTCAAAAACAGAAAGGCTGGAAGAAATGTAATGTAAACACTCCGTACTCACGGCTTAGATTTTACAATCAACACCCGGCTCTCTGTGCCATGTCACACATCCGTCCGTGTGCCAGCCTCCACGCGCGCCCGCTCTAATGCGGGACCCTTCCGAAAAGCACTACTGGACGGGCGGGAACCTCACAGCACAGTCCGTCTCACCACGAGGGTGTCGCCAGGGCCTGCTTCCCGCTCTGGTTCCTCCGTCCCTGCCTGCCTGCATTCGAGGGTCCCCAGTGGCCTCAGGAGTCAGGGTGCAGACGGCCCTCCCGTGGCGTTGCGCTTTGCCAACCCCTGTGAGAACCACGGCCGCACCTCAGGGGCCAACTTTCCGGCCAGGCCTTGAGGCTGCGGCATCAGATTTCTGCACTGAAGAAGGAAGGAACGTGGAAGCCGCTACCCAGATCCCGAGACTGGCTCCTCTGCCACAGACAGGACACAGGGGAGCTCCACCGTCCCCCACGGGCCCACGATGACAGCCCACAGCGCAGCACCAACCAGGAACTCCAGGGCCTTGGGCCTGGACGTCCCACCGTCATGTCTGCCCTGCTCACGGCCCCCGCTCGACACAGACCCTTCATTTTAAGCACACCCGGAAGATGAAAGCGTGCCCCTGCCCTAACTAAAGGGGCGACTGCGTGGTCTAGGCTCATGTCCCGCGACCGAGCAGCACTGGTCAAGCGCAGCTGGGCTGTCTCCTCTAACCCAGCTGCCTGGCACCCGGCCCGCCCGTCTCTTACGCACTATTCACGGCCGCCGCCCGCTACAGCAAGTCTGTGCTGCCCAGACCATGGCACCCAGAGCCGGGAACAGCTGGAAGTGGTGTGCTTACCCCTGGTCCAGAGTAACCCCCAGGGAATCTTTTTAAAAGAAAATATGTTACACACAACGATAAGGGGTAACAACTATTCACAAGATGAGGCAATCCAAATAAGGCCTTTGTCGCTCTGACACTGCGGGTGCTAACGGGGCCCAGACGCCCGGGTACTCACAGCTCTTTGAGGTTCCTCATCTTCGCGAAGGCATCAAACTGGACAGACCTGATCGCATTCTCGCCAAGGTTCCTGCAAAAGAACACCCTTTACTGAGGCAGAGAGCGCCGCACCTTCTAGGCAGCCCGCATCTGAGCCAGGGCTCGGGGTGTTCAGGACGGCCCGGTTGTGCGGGGAGCCAGGCCCGTGTCGTGCTGTCTTTTCGCAGACATGGGCAGGAGCATGGGGAGTAACTCTGGAGCAAGCCAGCCTTCAGGGGAGCGTGAGCCAGGAGAGGCCTGCCCACCAAGCCAACAGGCAGACCTTTCCAACAGGTCAGCCTGGATCACGGACAAGATACACTAAGAATCCAGCACTGGAGTCACCCTCCCCGGACCCACGAGGAGAAAACCTCCCACGAAGCAATCTGAAGCCACTGCAGCGGAGATGCCAGGCTGGGCCGGCCAGGCCCTGGGAGTGTGGAGGGGCCTGGCCGGGGCAGGAGACGGAGGGGACTTATCCATCGTTAGGAGCTCACCCCGGGCCATGTGCAGTGCAAGGCTCCTGGCACAGGCAAATAAAGGCCAGAGTTGAAGCTGACTTATACCGAGAATGAAGCAGCTGGCGTTTCCGATCGCCTGCATCTCGGCTTACAACTGTGGCTAAGTGGCCAGCGGCTCCCGAGCTGCACTTGGTGGAAGGAAGGTCTGCCCAGGTACTCACAGGTGCTCCAGGCTGTCCAGCCCCGAGAATGCTCTCTTAGCCACCGACTTGATCTTGTTTCCAGACAGAGATCTGCAGTTTCCAAACATCCACAAGGGGCAGTGGGGGAGGGGAGGGGGCCAGAAGGAGGGGTGGGAGAAAGAACACAGTTAGGGCAGTGCTGCCTGACAGTGTGTCCCGAGCGGCAGGTGGAGACCTGGCCTGTGCTGAGCTCACGGGCAGTAGCGCACAGGCCTTCCCCTTGGTGAAGTGAAAGGCGTATCTTCATTGGAATTCAGCGGTGGCAACAGGCTGAGATTGCCAGAAAGGCCCCTCGGACATTAAGTGGGAATCACCTGGTTCTGGCTGCCTCTCTCCACGGACCACCCGAGGGTGGGGCTGAGGGTAGCCGTGGCCTCGGAGGAGGAAGTGGTCAGAGACGGAAATGAAAACTCAGAACCAAATACCACCCACTTCTGAAAACTGCATTCTGGACGGAGGTCCCCAAGGAGGCAGGAGAGGCAGGAGGAGGCAGGAAGAGGCAGGGAGGGTCATGGAGATGGCTCCCTAGTCTGCACCTGCCCCAGGGAGCTGGACCTGCCTAGGAAGGCCCTCAGGACCTGAGGGGCAGTGCCTTGGCCTCTTGAGCAAGAACACAGGTTGTCAATGACACCAATGGACCAGGCTCACCACGTCCCAGGGCGGTGTTCTCTCAGGTCAGCCTCCTGTCTCTCCTGCCCGGACCCTGGGCCGCCCACCCGCTGGGAGGCTCCTGCTTCCAGCCAATTCCCTCCCAAACTCAGCGACGGCTGAGTTTTCTTAGGAATCACGATCTGACACAGGAAGGCTGTGCAATGCACAGGAAAGCTTGTTTCTGGACCGGTGGGCGGGGGGAAGGGAAGGGAAGCAGCACCTTGAAGATGCTGGACAAGGGGATGAAAAGAACTAAGGTCTCAGGGTTCCCTCCTCGGCACCAGGCACTCTGATGAGAGCCTGTCGCACAGGGAACTGGCTGCTGAACACGGGGTCCTGCCGAGCACCTGAGCTCCCCCCCAGGCCCGTTACAGAGGGACTGCTGGGAACAGACCCCTGGAGATCCGAGCTGCTGACCTGGGGGACGACGCCTGGGCGGGCGGGCGGGGAGGGAGGGTAGAAAGCCGGCCTGGCTCATACAGGGGGAAGGGAGAGGTTCCTCCTCCAGGGTCCACTGAGAATCAGGAGCAAGATCTCAACTCAAGGCCAGCTCCACCTGCAGACCTAGGTGAAGACTGGGACCCACAAGGAAAACGAAGCCCCAGACCTCCCGGAAAGGACAAAGGGCAGAAAACACAGCCTTGGAGAAATCTAAGGACGCAGGGCAGCTGCTGGCCCAGCACCAGCCTAACTGCAAGGGCCCTGGGGTCTCGGCAAATCCCGGATGCTTCTTCAGAATAGATGCTCCCTCAGAATAGACAGATGCAGCTGCCAGCCCCGGAGGAGGCGCTGTCTCCGCCTGCTACCTGGCCACTGTGAACCATGTCCATTGGGGCTTCCCGATGCCCCACCAGGAACACACTCTCTTCTCGGGCCTCTGCTTAAGGACCCCTGCCCCCCCCCCCCCCCTCGCCGCCCAGCAACTGAGTGTAGCCTTCAGACAAAGCCAGCTGTTTGCTGCCTCCGGAGGTGATAGGGGCACGGAGGCCAAGACCCTGCTGCCTCTCCTTTCTCCCGGAGGCAGTCTGCATGGATGTGAAGTCTCATCGGAATGTCCACCACCTCTCAATCTGCAGCTTACAGTTGAGACCAAATAAACCGTGCACACGGATGCCGGTGGCCACACTAACTAGTGGCCTCCCCCTTCCTGCCCCCCCCCCCCCCCAGAGGAGCAGTAACAGCACCCTGGGCACTAAACCCCTCGCCCTGAAGCACCGCCCACCTCGCATTACTCAGCTCCAGGTCCTAGCAAATGCTCTGACTGTGGTGAAGTCTCCTGCAAACTAGTAAGCTAGGTCCAGGAAAGTTGTGCTTCTGTCAGCCATTATATATGAGTCACACTGGCCTCTCTGACAGTGAGGGCAGGCTGTTATTTCTAATGGTGACAATAGCAATAAAGCAAATTCTCAAGTCCTCAAGTACGCAGGGCTAATCACCCTGCTGGTAGATGGAAACAAGGCCCACATTCTCCCCGCAGACATCTGGGGTGGGGGCAGGGCTCGGCTGGCAGAGGACAGCCCTGACGCAAGGCTGCTGTGGAGGAAGAGCAGGCTTCGGGTGTCCCATGTGGCAGGGCAGACCCCCCACTGTGCTATGGGGGGGTAGAGGGGCCAGGAGGCGGGGAGGAGGGAACGTTTTCAGGGAAAAGGACTGACTGGCACTTGTGACAAGCTGTCAGAATATAGGACGCAAGAAGAGACAGTCTCAGCACGCACAGCTTCTTACTCAGAACTGAGCACAGAAGGTATGACAACCACTTCTCAAAGCACATCAGAAACATTCACTGTACACGCTCCCCAGGGCCCGCACCGCTGCTCCCAGATGGTACTTCCCACTCGCCCGCCTCCGGTCAGGGGCAGGCTCGGGGCAGCAGCAGGCCTGTCGCCCCCGTCTGTCCTCCTCCGGTCCCCACTCCTGCAGAGAGTGCTGGGGGGACACAGAGAAGGGGGGCAAGCAAGGGAGACACGTGGGTGAATGCCACCTGCCACCCACCAGCCGTGTGGTCTTGGGCAAACCCCTCCAGTTCTGTTTCCTCAGCAGAAAGGCCGCACGGCAGCCGCCCTCGCGAACTGCTAGATGGGACACGCGCGGCCTCACAGAAGGCCTGGCCAAGTCTAGGAACTCAAAGAACAAAACAAACGGCAGACACCTTCAATGGAAACAGCTACTACACTACCCTGTAAACGCCTCTGTTTAAAAGTATGATCGACAACAAAACACTGATTAAAGACTCGCTTTACACATTTCACACAATTTCTTCGAGGAAGAGGTCAAGACTCCTTCATGCAAAGAACAATGGAAAACTTGGCTGTTTGACATCAGTTCTAAATGGGGGGGGGGGGGGGCGCTCTGACAGGCCCGGGGCACCAGGTCTCCAGCCCTAAAGAAACCAACACCCAGGGCAACAAGACCACTGGCCAGAGAAGCTGGGAGCACGTCTCCCTCCCTCCTCCTCAGATTTCTCTTCCCAAACCAACGCCAGCCGCTCTCCCAGCTGGGCCGGGACCCAGGTGCCCGGGGCCGAGGCCCCCCGGGCGGAGCTCCCAGACGTCAGAGGCGATACTCACAGCTTGCTGAGGCTGTCGAGCCCCGTGAACGCGCCGCTCGTGTCCTCTATTGTGCCCGAGATCTCGTTATGACCCAGGTCCCTGGGGAAGACAGACAGACAGCTCACCACCCAGCTCTCCACTCGTTCTTCACAGGAAGTGGCGGACAGACGGCCACCCAAACTGCCGCCGTGAGGCTGAAACATTCAAGTGTATTCTGGGCGCCCAGCTGCGACACTCGATGGAGAGAAGCGAGGCCGCTGAGCCCGAGGCCCAGGGGTGCACCCCGTGCGGGGAGGCCTGGCTTTCCCAGCTTCCCACAGGCCTGACGCACGTTGAGCAAGCAGCTCCCCCACCTCATCTGCTCCCCGTGGGCCGGGGCCGGGAAGGAGGGTTGCAGGCAGCACGTGGGAAGCCTGGTCTGTGTCCACCCCCGAGAGCGGACACCTGGCCCGGCACTAAGTCAGGTTTCCATCTGCTCTCTCACCAACCAGAGGCCCTTTTCTTTCTCCTTTCTCTTTAGTCCTTACCGCGACATGCTTATTGACTTTGGAGGGACGGGAAGGCTGCGAGAGAAGCATCCAAGTGAGAGAGCGACTGGCTGCCTTCTGTACTTGCCCTGAGCGGGAATCGAACCCACAACCTTCCAGTATATGGGGTGACACTCCCCAGTTCTTTTCCAGCTGACTATGTAGAAGTGTGAGCCTGCGCAGAGCAGCTCAGTTTTGGGTCCAATGCTGACTGGCAGCCGGTGGAAGAGGCCCCAACGAAGCAGCTGGCTGCTCACTGCCCTCCCAGCAGGAGCCCCCCCCGCCCCACCCCACAGTGAGACGTACAAGACACGCAGGTTTCTGAGTCCCTTGAAGGCGCCTTCCGCGATGTGGCTGATGGAGTTGTGGCTGAGGCGCAGGATGCTCAAGCTACTGAGGTCGGCCAGGCTCCCCTCGTCCAGCCGAGTGAGGTTGTTGAAGGACAGACTCCTGTGGAGGGGGCGGGAGGGGCGGGAGCAACGTCACTGCAGGTTGCCCAGGTTGCCTGCTCCCCTCCTGGGCATCAGCCGTGCCAGCTGGGCCTCAGCGGGAGGGGACAGCACCAGCACCCCGGGGGTAGAGTGGCCAGGCAGCTGAGACCCTTCAGGGCCTGGCACTCAGCCTGACTCCTGGGATGTTGGTGGAGGTCACAGAGACCAGGAAGTGTGGTGACCGAGGACTATGCAGAGGCCACGCAGCTCAGGAAGGCTCAAGGCTCAAGGCTCCAGCCCTCATGTGGGTGCCCAGGGCCGGTCCTGACCCAGTTTCTGAGAGGCTTTCTCAGTAGGGGCTTGAGATTGACAGGACCCCAGCGTGTGCACAGGGAGCAGGCGCCCAGGTAGGCTCCCTACATCGGCCAGCAGAGGGCACCACTGGCCACCACCTGGCACAAGCCTTCCTCACAGGCCTTCCGCCTCACCTGGGCATCTCCCTGGGCACCAGAGCCTCCTGTCCAGACATCTATGGTGACCCCCCACCCCCCACTGTCAGCTGACCAGCTTCCCTGAGCATCAGAATCGAACCTTCCTTCCTCCGGCCACCCCCTGCCCCTCTCTCACAGCCCTGCCTAAGTTGGTTCCTTGGTGTGTTAAGTCATCTATCCTTGAAAAATGGGAAATTTGGTCTAGGGCAGGAATACGGACAATAAATTTGGAGAAGACTGATGAGAGTTTAACAGCAGCAGGGAGTGAGTCTCTCCCTCCGGCAGAAACAAGTCCTGGTTGGTGTCTGTCAGTCGCAGAGACCTGGCAGGAGATCAAACTTACATCCTCACCTGCAGTCAAAGGATGTAGCTTAAAGGAGGGGTGGGGACACGCTGGCAAGCGGTCCTAAATCCGGCCTCGAGGTGCCCTGGGTGTTGGGCAAGCTGCTACGCCACAAGGGCCCTGCTGTGACCCCCTCTACTCCTCTACCCCTCTCCAGGGCACAGACGAGCCTACACTGCCCGCAGCCTCTCACAGCTGCTCTGGCCCCAGGGCCCATGACCCTGCCGCGGGCGGGCGGACCTGGGAGACTCTGCTGCTTCCCTGGCTGCCAGGCCCTGTTGGCAGGAGACCATGGGTCTTGGGGTTCCTGATCGGGTTCCAGCCTGAGCCAGGAGCAGGCAGGAGCCACCAGGACCACGTGAGAATGCCACGCAACGGCACCACGGTGAAGGGCCAGCAATAAACCCTACGGGCTCACACTCACACCCACACCCAAGGGAGTGAAAGGAAAGGAAGAGGCAGGACATCGATCTTCTTCGGGGAATGATGGGTTCCAGGCCAGTGCAGGGCGGGGGGGGGGGGGGCACAGAGGGACAGGGAGGCACAGATGGGGATGCCACGGCACACTGAAACATCCCCGAGTTTGCCCGGTGAGGGCGAGCAGCCAGACAGGCAGAGGCTTGGCCTCATAACCACCGTTCACTTCGGAGGGTACATCTTTTCCTGCAGTCACGACTGAAAAACAGAAAGCCCACCCCAACCCTCTTCTAAAAGGTAGAGGAGCGCACTGGACTAGAACTGAGAAACCTTGAGCTTATTGAACTGAAGTAACAAACGCAATGAGAATCCACTTTTTTCCTCCAAAACAACCATCTTTTAGACCTGGGACAGGGGCAGGGGCCTGTGCACCCGGCCGCCTGCCTTGGCCCGCAGCTGCCCGCCCAGAGGAGCCTCGCGCCGGCTCAGGGACCTGGGACACCAGAGCGGGCTCCCAGGTCCAGCCAGGGCCTGTCGGGGAGTCTCCCAAAGGGACGAGGGGTCGTCTGTCTCAGTAAAGCACAGGCCCAGGCCCAGGTGCCTCGCCACCAGGCCCGGGTGCAGGGGACCTGGGGGGGGGGGGGAGGGAGGAGCCAGTGCGGAGACCTGGCTACATGCAGGAAGGCAGAGACCACGAGGGCACGTAAACCGTCTGCCAGCGTTTCGCCATCTCTCAGGATCGCTGTCCTCGCTGTGTTTGAGCCCAAGTAACCCCTTCCCTAAAGAAGTCCGTGTTCCTTGTGGCCATTAATGAGCAACAGCTCTGTGAGCAGCTGCACGGAGAACCTCCTGCAGGCTGCCCGGGCCCTCTCCAGCCCAGGTGGCCAAGGCTGCCCCTGGGGAACAGAGAGAGGGGAGCAGGAAGGGTCAAGTTCAAACCACTGAGGTCTGCAGCCTCGGGGTCCTGCTCCGGGCCTGGTGCTGGGCGCTGGCCTCCCTGACAGGTCAGTGCCTCCTTTGAGCCCTGCCCGCCTGAGCCCGCCCCGCCCACCGAGCTTCGGGACACACCAGGCCCCAGCCACGCCAGGCAGGCAGAGTCTAACGGGCACAGCGCACAGCGGGCGACACTCACAGCTCGTGCAGCTTCTGGCAGAAGCTCCAGCCGTCGCGGCTGATGCGGGAGATGGAGTTGTTGCTGAGGTGGAGCTGGTGCAGGGCTGTGAGGCCGTAGAGCGAGCCGCTGTTCACCTCCCCCAGGCTGTTGTGCTCCAGGTGCCTGCAACGACAGCCACACGCACGCTGGAGGAGGGCCCACGCCATTCCCCACGGCCAGAGCAGGGGGCTGGCGCCCAGGACCCGACACTGCAGAGCCCCTGGTCTCAATGACAGTACACGAGGGTGTGTGTGCATGCGCGCATGTGTGCGCACGCGTGTGTAGGCAAGAGAGGCAAACCCAAACAGATGGGGAGTGTCCAGGCCAAGTTCAGAACCAGGCACAGAAATGGGCAGATGCGCTGCACAATGAGGGCAGAGACCATGAAAGAAAAACCTTGCAGATGAGGAAACCCTGGGGTCAGACCCCTTGGATTTAAATCCCACTTTTGCTCCTCTGTGGGCTACGGGACCTGGACCTCTGGAAAATGGAGGTGCCCAAGGGTACTCCTCCACAGGCTGCTGAGGGACACGAGAAAACATGTCAGAACTCAGCCCCGCGCTGAGGGCTCACGCTCCCGCCAAGGGGAAGCCAGGACACTGCCACCGGCTTCCTGGCCCTGCAGCCTGGCCACGCCCGGCCCGAACGGAGAGCAGAAGCCGGTCACCCACAGGTTGCCCCACTCGTACGACAAGCACTCGGGCACCGCTTCCGCTGCCATCCACCTTGCTGTCTGCTGCTGCGCAGAAGGAAGCACTGACTCTGAGGCAGCTCATCACCCCACTGGTGTGACTTGTTCAACATGAAAACCACGCGCGTGTGCTCACTGCACTTCCTTCTGCAAATTCTCTGTCATCTCAGCCCACCCAGCACACGACCACCTAGATTTCAAAGTCTAAAATGACAGTTTTAAGATGTCAGGTGAAAGTGTACTTCAATATGTAAAAACAGATACAGCTGGTCCAAGGTAGCATAGAAGAGAGGGAGACGCAAAACCACAGTGCTAATGCCATCACTTCTCAGTGTGAGTGTGTGTGCATGTGTGTGTGCATGTGCATGTGTATATATGTGTTATGTGTATTAGTATGTGTATGTGTGGGTATCTGAGTGTATGTGTGTGTGTCAGCATGTGTATGTGAGTCTGTGTATTTATGTGTATGTGTGTGTCAGTGTATGTGTGTGAGTGTACTGGTATGTGTGTGCACATGAATGTGTATGAGTATATGTGTATGTGTATGTATGAGTGTATATGTATGTGTGTGAGTGTGTATCAGTATGTATGTGTGTTAGTGTATGTGAATATAAGAGTATGTGTGTTACTAGTATATGTATGTGTGTGAATGTTAGTATGTGTATATGTGTATCTGAATGTATGTCAGCATGTGTATGTGAATGTGTATGTGTGTGCATATGTGTATGTGTGTCAGTGTATGTGTGTGTATATGAATGTATGTGTGAGTGTATGTGTGAGTGTATGTGTGTGTCAGTATGTATGTCTGTGTGTGTATGTGAATGTGTGAGTATATGTGTGTGCGTATGTGTATGTATATGTGTGTGAGTGTGTGTATGTGAATGTGTAAGAGTATGTGTGTATGAATGTAAAAGGCATGGTCGAGAGACAGGAACTAGAATTGCTTTTGTTTCGTTGCAAAGAAAACTAATAAAAAACACAGTAACATCATGTGTGGAGACTGGGGGGAGCGGAACGGTGTCTTGAACAAGTGAAACCACTGACCATAAAGCAAGACAACCCAGACTGGCAAACCCAGGCAGCGGTGAAGTGTCTAACGGGGCACAACCACCAGCAGGACAACAGCCAGGAAAACTCAAGCAGAGAAGTAAGACGTGACTGCCGCTGGGAGGACACGTCGGCGAGGGACGAGGGCAGGAGTGGACGCCACGCTTTCCTCCCAGTCTGAGCACATGTGCAACCGCGAGGCAGGTCCTTCTGACGCACAGTAAACAAATCTAAATGTCCGAAAGCGGAAGCGGGCACCTGCCTTCTCCGCCCTGTCCGTGCCTTCGTGTGGTTTTGCGTGACTCGCGGCAGCACGAGCAGCGATGTGCACGTCTGTTCCCTGGAAAAGGGGCAGCTGCACCAACGCCCAATGAACTCACCAAACGAGAAATCAATCTCCCAGGATGAGCGGTACATGTTGGCCCACCTGCACCTCAGACGGTCAGACCCCCAACAGGGGAGGGAACTTTCTGTAGGGTGTGGGGCGGAGGAGGGTCTGGGAGGGGAGCCACGAAGGAGGGGGAGCAGCCCCAGAAGGATGGCCCCCTGTCTTCACTACCCAACGTTCTCCACCAAATCCACTCAACTGCCCTGAGATTTTCCCAACCTTCCAGGGAAACACCCTTATCTGGAGTCCCCAGAAACACGAGTGAGGCCCCGCCGAAGTCCTAACAGCCCTTGGCAGAGGGCGCCACACAGACCACACGGGCCCTGGCGCGGCGCATACTCACAGCGCCTGCATCCTGGACAGCCCCCAGAAGGCCCCGTCCGTCAGCCGGCTGATGTTGTTCCGCTGCAGCTTCAGCACCTCCAAGCTGTCCAGCCCCTGGAACGTCAGGCCCTCGATCAGCCGGATCCGATTCCGATTCAGGTCCCTAGAGACAAAGCCGGTGGGTTCAGAGCGTCCAGCACGCACCCCTCACTCCCACAGTCCCTGCTGGGTTTCCAGGCAGCAGGGAAAATCCGGGTAGAGGGTCCTGGTGGACCTGGTGTGAGGGGCACCCGCCAGGCAGCCCCTGGCACTGCCCGGGCCCCAGCTAAGGAACAAAGAGGAGGGGAGAGCTCCTGAGTGAGGGAGCGCCCATTCCTCCGGGGCGGCTGTCTGCAGCGAGGAGGGGATAGGACTCAGGATGCAAGCGCCCCAGGCGAGCAACAGAAGCCCAGACCAGGCGCCTCACCCAGGAAAAACCTAACGGAAGCAACGCTTCCCACGGGAGGCACTCCCAGCATCTCCAGTCACGGAGAGCAGTCACTGCCCAGGGGAGCGAGGGGGCTGGACACACCACGGAGCACACGTTTGGCTTCTGGCCCCTGTGATAAACCTCTTAACCAAAGGATTTCAGGAACCTGGGGGGCTGGGTCTGTCGGCAGCACTGGGGGGAGGGGTGGGGAACCCAGGCTCCTCAGAAAGCCCTTGGTTTTCCCCAAATACTTGGGCAGCACCTCAGGGCCTGCCTCACGCAGACCTGCCGAGCGACAGGACCGGGACGCAGGGAGCGGGAGCCGGGCGCTGGCAGGGTGCGTGTGAAGCAGCGCTGGGTGCACCCTACCTTCTGTCACACCTAGCTCTGAACACCTGTTTTGTTCTGTTTAAACCAAATCCCAATAGTGGCTTATTTTCCTGAGATATATTCTTTTGCTACAAAGATGATACAGGAAATAAAAACGGAACAAGTACTCCATCGGGTTCAAAAAAGAGGTTTTCTCGACTCCAAACTCTGGGCCATTCCCAGAGGGTACTGGGCCTTGGTCATCAAAAACTAAACAAAGAGATCCTCTCCAGAAAAAATCAATCAATCAACAAACTAGGTGAAGACGATGGCCTCTCTCTTGCTCAGGACGCCCTCCAGATACACTAGCTTCCTCTCACGCTGCCCACGCACTGGGCACCATGAGGCCGTGGCACAGACTGTACAGGAGCCCACACGGCCTGAGCTCCGCCAGCGCGGCTAGCGAGCAGGAGTCCTCCTTGTGCTCTGGAGCGTGGCCACAGGCCGCACCCTCCATCCTCAGTGGGTCTCAGCAGCCGGAGAGCCGCAGGCACCAGACCAGCGCCCAGTCTGCTTTGACTGGGTGTCGCCACTGGGTCACTGTGGGTCGTTCGTGCAGGGCTTGGCCGGGAGCGCGGAAGGAGCTGCATTTGGCACGGGGTCCTCGGGGAGGTCTGGCCCCACCAGGCTTGGTGACCCGAACAAACATGCGGGTTTCCACACTCACAGCTGTGTCAGCCTCGGCAGCTTGAACGCTTTCACAGGAAGCTGGGTGATCCTGTTCCGGCTCAGGCGAAGCGTCAGCAGCGACCGCGACAGACCGTCAAACGCTCCGGATTCCAGGGTGCCGATCCGGTTGCTTGCCAGGTTGCTGGAATGATCCGGGAGAGAGAATACCGTGGTCAGCAGGAGGCCTTCCTCATTCTGTTATGGACACCAGACCTGCTAACTTGGGAAAATAAGCCACCACCCAGAGACACGGTGTCCTGAGACACTGACACCCATGCACTCCCCACGGGACAGCCAGGTGAGGAGGGGGCAGCTCTCCCCATGGAACAGCCAGGTGAGGAGGGGGCAGCACCACCCATGGAACAGAAGAGAGAAGAAGGGACAGAAAAGGGGGGAACACTGATGTCCCATGAGATGCTACCACTACGTCTCCTATTTCCCAAATGCGGGTTTTGGTGGCTTAAGCAGAAGGAGAAGCTCCGAGAGACCTTTCTACAGGGAGCGAGGGAACAGGCATCTTTCGTTGCCCACCAGGTGAGGAGGGGGCAGCTCTCCCCACGGGACAGCCAGGTGAGGAGGGGGCAGCACCACCCATGCAGGACGGAGCTGTGTCCGCCTGGAGCACATGCACCGAGGCCAGTGGGTGACGCCAGGAGGGAGGAAACCAGCACCTCCACAACCAGCACCCCCTACTCCAGCCCTGCTGGGTGCTGCCACCTCCAGGGCCATCTGCAGGATTCCTCCTCAGCACCCATAACCCAAGGTGAGGGTCAGGGTTGGTGAGAGAAGCCCTAGGAAGCATAAAGCACTGCGAGGCAAAGCCCACGTGGATGTCGTCGTTTGGGGAGACAGCCTTTAATGTTGAAGTGGGTCTCACTGTACGGCTTACGTAATAAAGGTGCACAAACCCGTTCGTGGCAGTGATTTTAAATCTAAGACACACTCCAGTTAAAGGGCCTGGCACAGTCTCCCTTCAGAACACGCCTCACAGCGATGGGCCCCACTGCCAGGATTCTGTGTGTAAGAACGCCTCCCCTCCCAGCGCACGGCAGCCCACACAGCCCGCCTCTGTGGTCCCACTGTGCGCATTGACAGAGCAAGAAGAGAGGAGAAGGGACAGAAAAGGGGGGAACACTGATGTCCCATGAGACGCTAGCACTACCTCTCCTATTCCCCAAATGCGGGTTTTGGTGGCTTAAGCAGAAGGAGAAGCTCCGAGAGAACTTTCTACAGGGAGCGAGGGAACAGGCATCTTTCGTTGCCCCACCAGGCACAGCCAGGACAAGGCACATGAGGTCCTTTGCAAAGGGGGCTGGACCGCTTGTTCCCAGCACTCCAGGTGAGAGGACAGTCTGGGTAAGTGGTCGGCAAACTGCGGCTCGCGAGCCACATGCGTCTCTTTGGCCCCTTGAGTGCGGCTCTTCCACAAAATACCGACTTCTGCGCATGGGCCACGAAGTTTCAATCGCACTGTACGTGCGTGCCCGCATGTGGTATTTCGTGGTATTTTGTGGAAGAGCCACACTCAGCGGGCCAAAGAGCCGCATGTGGCTCACGAGCCGCAGTTTGCCAACCATGGGTCTGGGTGATAAAGACACACTGGCCACTGTGTGCAAACAGAAAGCACCCCCTGCTCTCAGGCACAGGGAGAAGGCCACTGCCATTCAGCTCAGCAGGTGGTGGTTTCCTGGTTCCACGCAAACAGGTGCCAGGTCGGGGCACAGCTCTGCAGAGACCGCCCGGGCCGGGGCTCTGCCACCCTGGCCTCTGAAGGCCCCGGGCTCCCGTTCCCAGTCCAGGGCCTCGGTGCAGCCTGAGAGAAGCCTCTCCTCTCCCTGCGGGCCCTGGAACACACTCGTGCTGAGCCGTGGCCGCCGAGCAGATGGGTCACCGTGGCCCCATCGAGCCTTGCGGACGGTCTCCAGGGAGTCAGGACGGAGTCGGGCGGGAGTGAACTCACACGTCATCAGAGCGTGTCTCCTCCGCCAGAACCTTCAGTTTCTTCCCCAAAGCAGTCTTTCCCACCAACAGGCAGTGGGTCAAATAGGTTTTAACTTGCCTCCCAGCTGCCGTACAATGGGTATGAGAGAGCGCATTAAGATGGGTAAAAGCAAAACAGACTGACAGCAAAATCTAGAAGATTCTGAGAACCCACAGCATGGAGCACCTGCTCTCTCAAGTGCACCAAGTGCGCGTTTCAATAGTGCATGACGCTAGACAGACATGCGGACAGGCCCTCCTCACAGAGGTCCCCCAGCCTTCCTCGAGAGCTTGCGTCTCCTCTCCGCCTTCCTGGAGGCAACTCCGTAAGCGGGAAAGAGAGCAGGCTTTGTAGCCAAGACAGGCCTGTATCTGAGGCTCACTTCTCTCAGTGGTGAGCCTACTAAGCTCACCCGTACGCTCCCGGCCTCAGCTGCCTGTCCGTCTCTAACGCTCTACCATAGAGGGCGCTGCCCTGGGCGCCCAGCCCTGGGCTCTGCAGAGGCCGCACGAGGAGCTCTGTGCCCAGCTCCACGGCCTCAGCACGGCCACGGCTGAGAAGAGGAAGCGCCCTCCCTGCCACCAGCCCTGGTGCCCACCCGGCAGCGCAGGGCACTTACAGCTCCTTTAAGGGCGGTCCCTGCAGGAAGCAGGCGCTGTGCACCTCCGTGAGGTTGTTCCAGCTCAGGTCCAGCACCTCCAGCGCCAGGTAGGCCCTCAGCTGGCGCCCCTCCACGCTGCGGATCTTGTTGTGCTGCCTGAAACACACGGAGGACGTGACTCAAGCATGTCTTTCTGCACAGAAACAATTGTTTTCCCTACCACTTCGTTTAGACTCATTTTTTCCTGTTTTGCTCTCAAAAAATTACAAATGCAGTGACACTCCAGGTGCCATCCCCTCTCCCTCCCTCCCCTCGAGCTGTCACCAGCTAGGCGGGTGCTAGACAGAGCACTCCTGTCTGTCTGGGCGGGTGCCAGACAGAGCACCCAAGTCTGTCCGAGTTCCAAGCCCAGGCTGCTCCCCCCAAAGGCGAGAACAGAGGGGGACACTTCAGACACGTGCAGAGCGCACGGCATGACCGGAACCTGGGCTCGCCGATGCCCTCCCTCAGCGAGCGGCCAGTGCGACCAGCCAGTTCCCAGTGCTTCCCATCTTGAACCTTCGGGCCCTCATCCAACCCCACCACGTACAAGGCTGCAGGCCTTGAGCCTACAGCCAGTTAATCCATCTCAACACGTGGCTACACTCCTCACACTACCAATACCTACCATGTGCCAGGCGTGCAGACAGGCACAAGGGATTAAAAAAAAGACAAAATCTCCCCCAGGGAGACCAGGAACTCGGTGCTGGATCTGACAAGACCGAATCCCCTGACCTCCGCCGCTAGCCCTCGGTCACTTTGTTCCTGCTTCCAGGCCTGGAAATGTGAGCTCAGCATCTCAACCTGGAGCACACAGGGCCCTGCGATGCACCTGCGGCTGCCACATCAGACGTGGGCCTTCCCTTGTTCTTCCCATCTGCCTCTGTGTTGCCGCCACCACTCACCCGGCCCGTGACCCAACTCCCTCCTCATCCTAGGGACGCGGGTGACCCACCCTGACCCGCACGGAAGCACGCGGCAGATGTTAGCTAAGGATTCCGTGTTGCACCCCCTCCAAGAAAGGCGTCTTACCGCAGTGGTTTAAACGTACCTTTAATCCTGCTTCTGACAAAGCTACAGTCTAATCAACAAGCCAGTGTTTATTAATCAGGAGAAAGACAACCCACGGTAAGCAAGGCTGGAGGGAGCGGCCTGTGCATGGGCCTGGCCCGGCCTGGCAGGCTCGTCACCGCAGCCTCATCGAAGTTCAGAGTCAGACACCAGCGCGATGGGGGCAGCGCTGGCTCTGGGTCCCGGCGCCCCCCGGGCCAGCCTGGAGTGAGCAGTGTCAGGGTCTGCAGCCATCAGACATTCCCCCACACACAGTGAGCCAGGCGTTGCTTACCAAGTGGCATCTCTTTTACACAAACACTTGCCCAAATCCGTTCCAGCAGCGGGAACAAGGCCCTCTTCCCAGAAGCTCGGGGCCTCCCCCTCCTTTGTTTCCTCACGACTCTCCCAGGCTCTGAACCCAAGGGCCCGCTTACAAGGCACAGCTCCACACACAGGGAGCCTCTAGAATGAAAGACTACTTTTCCCTTCACGCCCCCGCCTGCCCCCACAGAGCTCTTTCCTTTGAGTTCTTTATTAAGTTCTTAGTGAAGATAGTCTCTTCAGTTTTCTGACTCAAAAAGAAAAAGAAAGGGTAAAATAAAGTAAAAGGAAACCTTTATTATGTAAAGTATGGGAAAACAGAGTAGGAAAAAGGCAGCCTTACCCAGGAACTGTGGGAGCCAGGACGAGTCTGAAAAGACAGGAAGGGGCGCCAGGGCCTGAAGTGGAACAAAGGGGGGGCCGCACACAGTGGAGGGGTCCCGGGCAGCGGCTGGAACCCCGCACTTCTCCCTGCCTCCTCTCCTCTGTCTCTGCCTTTCATCTTACACGTCTCCTGCCTTGTCAGCCTGTTCACTCACTGAACGCACGCCCTGCCCCGCGCCAGGCCGCTCTGCAGGAAGGCTCTGGGGTGCGGGGAGAGCTCCTGAAGGCAGAGCGAGGCGCCATGGAGATGAGAGAGGGCGGGGAGCCTGGGCGGTACAGAGGCAGGAAGGATGAGCCTGGGGACCAGGGTGCTGGGGCCCAGCCCAGCGTGAGGGCAGGATGTTGATGCCAGGGAGACTGGGACGCAGCAGCGCAGAGCGGATGGGGTCCTGCAGCTGGCAGAGCAGGTGGGGCCATGCCCAAAATGCCTCCCGGGCCAGGCTGATGAGCAGGAATCCTCTCACAGGGCCAGGAGAGGGTGGCGGCAACACAGACATGAGATGGGAGAAAGGGACGGGCCCCCAGGATATGGCAAGTGGAGGTGCATGAATGGGACGCTGTGTGCTCTAGTCTGGAGACGTCAAGATGACCAGGGGAGCAGCTACAGGCTACACTGTGGTCTCTGCCCACCTACGACCTGTCCCGGAGTGGCTGCATCTAGAATACAGACAGCCCTGCCCTCAACAGCACCACCCAGCAGCCTGATTAAAAAATGAGCAAAGAACTTGAATCGATGCTTCCCCCCAAAAGGTATACAAACAGCCAATAGCACATGAAAAGATGATCAACATCACTGATTACTCGGGCTGTGGAGAAGCTGAAACCTGGTGCAACTGCTGAAGAAAATGGTGTGATGGGGCCTCAACAATCAAACACAAAATCACCATGTGACCCAATAGTCATACTTCTGGGTATATATCCAAAAACCTGGAGGCGGATCTGAGAGGTACCTGACACTCACATTCCCAGCAGCATTATTCACAACAGTCAACAGGTGCAGCAACCCAGTGTGCATGGACAGTGGTGGGCGGGCGGGTGGAGAAGCACAATGTGGTCTACATACAAGGGACTGTTGTTTCCCCTTGAGAGGCAAATTCTGACCCCTGCTACCACCTGGATGAATCGTAAGGACGTTATGCTACGTGAGATGAGCCAGTCACAGAAAGACACCCTGTATGGTTCCACTCGCATAAGGTCTCGGAGCAGCACACCGACTGGTGGCTGCCGGGGCCGGGGGGCAGGAATGGGGAGCTGGTCAATGGTGCGGGGCTCGTTTGCAAGATGGAGGGAGCTCTGGAGCTTTGCACACACGTGTGTACTGCACCGTACACTTAAAATGATTAAGATGGCAAATTTCATATTACATACATTTTACCATGATTTAAAAACAAAACAAAGCAAAAAACAAGTTAGTTCATGCCTAAAACTCCAACAATGGCTTGTGTGTCTCCTTTTGGACCAAGTCCTTGCCATGTTCTCCAAGGCCCATGTGATGGCCACACCCCCACCATGCTGCCTCACTCCTACCTCCACCCCTGCACGCACCACACGGCCTCAGACACTGCAGCAGGGTCCTGCCTCGGGACCTCTGCACTTCCCTTTCGCACGGCCGACAAGCTCTTCCCTCGAAGACCCACAGGCCTCATGCCCTTACTTCTCCCACATTTTTTAAATTCAAAGTTACCTTCGCAATGGGCTTCGCTGGCCACACAGTCTAAAACCACAAGCACATGCAAGCTTCCCGCCCCCCTTTCTCTCTCTCCCCCCCACCCCTCACACACACACACACACACACACACACACACACACTTCTCTCTCTCTCTCACACACACACACACACCTCTCTCACGCGCGCACACACACACACTCCTCTCTCTCTCACACACACACACACTTCTCTCTCTCTCACACACACACACACTTCTCTCTCTCTCACGCACACACACACACACTCCTCTCTCTCTCACACACACACACACACACACTTCTCTCTCACACACACACACACACACACTCCTCTCTCTCTCACACACACACACACACTTCTCTCTCTCTCTCTCACACACACACACACCTCTCTCTCACGCGCACACACACACTCCTCTCTCTCTCACACACACACACACACACACACCTCTCTCTCACGCGCACACACACACTCCTCTCTCACACACACACACACACACACCTCTCTCTCACACACACACACACTCCTCTCTCGTGCGCGCACGCGCACACACACACCTCTCTCTCTCACACACACACACACACACACACACACACACACACACTCCTCTCTCTCTCTCACACACACACACATTCTCCACTTCTTCACCTACTTTCTTTATGCCTCTAGTTACCCTCTAAGACACCCAGAATTTTGCATATTTCTAGTTTAACACGTCTCCCAGCAGATGTGCCTCCATGAAGGCAGGTGTGTGTGTCTGTTTTGTCCACTACTCTCTAACCACGGGAACAATGTGAGGCACACAACAGATGCTCAATTAATATTTGTTGAATGAACCACAAAGAAAGAACACGCGTGAACTGAGAGGCCAAGGCGGGCACAATGTGGGGCTCACGAGCACTTAAGCAAAAGAGAACGATGCCAGCAGATGAGTTCAGTCAAGGAGCACGGAGGACAAAGAGAGCCTGCCCACGGTCTGGGCAGCGCTGCCCAGATGCCAACCACCCAGCCCACGGGGCTCCAGAGTTCTCAGCTGAGCACCGCTGCTCCCAGCTGCCGAGGACACGCGTGCCATCTTCTCCCTCGCAGCTGGTCTCTCTACGCTCCAGGCTAGAGCCCGGATCAAACTCCTCCTGCACTCCTCGGGCTGAGGAAAGCGGAGCACACAGCTCTGTGCTCCTGCAGAACTCCGCCTCCCTTCTCTCCCAGAGCAAGCAGCACACTGTGTTAGGTGTCTCGTGGACCACGGTCCAGAGCTCTTCCTGGGCTGTAACATGGCACAGCTGAAGAACACGCCACAGGCCATACCTGCCTAAGTTCAAACCCCAGGCTCACCACCTACAGGTGGGAGCCTCGAAGAGCCCGTCTGTACAGTGGGGTGGAAGCTCCCACGCCCCTGGGGCTGCTCAATTAAACGTGCTCTCGTTTGTATCAGCCTCAGAGCCAGGCTCAGCCTCGTTTGTTGGAGGTGCTTTGGGAAAAGAATGAAGAAAAGTAATGAATGACTGGTCCCTGTCTATCCCTCTGCCACGTCTATGCAAGTAGGAGGCCCGACGCCTCTGAGGAACGAAGGCTGGCGCAGTTCTCACTCTTAGCTGCACGCATGGAGCAAGCCTGTTCCAGCTGGCGAGTGTCAAACCAGCCACAGGACAAAGGGCTGCAAGGCAGATCCCAGACCAAAACTTCTGCAGGACTCGGGGTGGCTGACTCCTTCCTTCCCACTCCTGCAGCAAGACTCAGGCCCCACCCCAGACTCACCCACCAAACCCCACCCTGCCCACCAGAGGGGCAGGCCCCCCAATATCCCCTCCACACAGCCATCCACCTGGGTTAGAGCCAACAGCCACGATTCAGGGGACCCCCCCTCCTCCAGAGTGGATGGCTGTGAAGACATGTTTGCTGCCCTGTTCAATCCGCATTCACTTTACAAAACTGGGCATGTGCAACACAGGGGTCAGACCGTCACTCCTGAACTAAACAGCCTAGCTCCAAAGAAGGTGCACACTCATCTCTCCAACCTCCGAATCCTTGTCCACGTTCTTATAACAAAGCTGGCCAATAACTGAGCACCTGCTGCAGCAGGCCCGGGCCAACCCAGCGAACTCACGCGTGAGGTGGGTCCTAGTCTTATCCCCAGCCTCTCCGTTGGAGAAACAGGCTCAAAGGCTGCTGGAATTTTCCGGAGTCACAGCTGGAAAGTGAAGGAGCCAGCACGCAAGGCCAGGGCAGCAGGCCCACCCACAGCCCATCCGAGAGGCTCCCCCAGCCCCTAAACCTTCCAAAAAGCTTGCCTAGATCTGAATGCCAGCTGACTGCTTCCCGGTCAACCCAGACTGGTCTGCACAACTGGCCTCCGCCAGGCCTCGCTTCTGTGCCCGCCCCCGGCCTGCGTGCAGCCAGTCCACAGGGGGCTCTGTGGGGCTCTGTGCAGCTCCTCGCAGCTGAAAGGCAGGTGAAGCTCCAGTTCTCCTCATGGAAATGCTGGCGGGAAGCAGAGAACAGTCCCACTGAGACGTGTCCTCACAGACCTGCATGTGAAGGGGGACAAAGTGATGTCCTAGGCCAGTGGTCGGCAAACTGCGGCTCGCGAGCCACATGCGGCTCTTTGGCCCCTTGAATGTGGCCTTAGGAGTACCCTAACTAAGTTAATAACAATGTACCTACCTATATAGTTTAAGTTTAAAAATTTTGGCTCTCAAAAGAAATTTCAATCGTTGTACTGCTGATATTTGGCTCTGTTGACTAATGAGTTTGCCGACCACTGTCCTAGGATTACAAGAAAGAGAGGGAGGGACAGGGGGAAGAGAAGGGGAGGGGAGGCCTCCGCCACAGGGGCATGTGGCCTGGTCACAGGGCCTTCACTCCGCCTCCTGCAGGTTTACCCTCGGGCTGCCCTCTGGACGAGGAGAACTTAATGCAGCAGAATCTATTCAGCCAACACCTGTTCGTGGCTTCAAAAGTAAAATCTGTCTTCAAAGACTGAAGCTCTGGCCACTTGGCTACGTTTTCTAGGCCGATGTTCAATTAGACGGTAAGACAGGCAGAGGCATTTGAAACCAACTTTTAAAACTTTTTATCCAAAGTGATGTTCCACGGTGGTTCTGGGAAAGCCTGCTTTACACGGTATTCCCTTCGTGTGGAAACAATCTCGGGTCACAGAAAACAGCCAGGAAGCAAGAGTGAGGGGACCAAAGGAGGCAGGGTCAGGGTCAAGTGGACTGTACTTGGCTCCTGGAATCAGCAGATGCAGCCCACAGTGGGCCCGGCTCAGTGGGCCCGGCTTTGTGGGTTACTGCGGTATCCATCCCAACTGCTCAGCTCTGACACTGGAGTATAAAAGCACCACAGACAAGACCTAAATGAGCGTGGATGTGTTCCAGGGTCACTTTATTTACAAAAACTAGCCCCTCCTGTCATTTTCTTATTGCCCTTCCTAAGGGGACCTCTAATTTAACCACCAAGGATTATTTTGCCTACTTTGTACTTTACCTGTGTGGCATCGTCCACATAAACTTCTGCACCTGCCTACTGTCATTCAGCATGTGTGTGAGATCCATCCACAAGGCTGCATTCACAGTTACTTCTTCCTCACTGTTCTGTAATATTTATCGAGGGAATACACTGCAATTCGTTTTCATTTTGCTCTGGATGGACGCTGAGTTAGTGCCAGGCTGGGTTACTGGAGAGCCACCGCTCTGCACACAGACATGCTCGCACTGCCCTGGTGCACGCGTGCACGCACTCTGGCGGCGTGAACGTGCACTGTGGCCTTGCTCCCCCGCCGCTGAGCAGCTGTGCGGCCAGGGCACACACTGGTCGTTTTCCTTTAAACCAATTCCCCACAGTTGAAAGGAGTCCGAAAAGCCCTCTGATCCAAGTGCCATGTTTCATGCTACTTCACTCAACCGCATTCTCTTCCTTCATTCCTCCCCACAGAGAGCATTACGAACAAGCCTGGGCCACTGAACAAGGCCAAGCTCAATCTAATCTTGTTCATTGTCAAACGGAATCATTTTATATAACTGGGGACCTAAAGAGCAACAAAAAGGAAAAAATATATAATTAATAATTCTAAGTCCCAAGTTGGCAAACAGTAAGGTGCACGTGCCCGACGGGAAGACCAGTGCCCACATGCACCTTGTCGATGAAGGGAAGGAGGTTTTAAAGGAACAGCTTTCCTGGGCGAACCTGAAGGGAAGTGTCTCCTCCAAAGGACAGTTGAGTGTCATCCTCTCATGAGCTTGCTGTACATTCATCTTCTTGAGAAAAGGAAAGCAAAACCATGTGTTCTATTGCACAAATCGACCATTTGCTCCAAGAAACCCGTGCCTCGCAGGACCGGCCCAGCCTGGGTTATTTGCTGGACAGGATGTGGGAATTGGAATGAGCAGGTCTCTCTCTCTCTCTCTCTCTCTCTCTCTCTCTCTCTCTCTCTCCTGTCCCTCCCCCCACCCCAACACACACACACAGACACACAGACACACAGACACACAGACACACACACACACACACACACACACACACACACACTGCTGGTGAATCACTGGCTCCCTGAGAAATTCTGGCAGATTCTCAGCCTGGCTGCAGATGACGGTCGGGATCTGTTTATTCAGGTGGAGATCGGATAAAAAAACAACAGTGGCCCAGTGTCGGGATAAACAGCCTGCGCCAGGCGGGGTCAACCCCTCCAAAGTCAGGACTGAGCTGTGTCAACCACCCTCCCAGCCATTCACTTCCTTTAGCTCCCCCTCCCCTCAGGGTCTTCAATGAACCGCCCTCATTAACTCCTTGCAGAGGGAATGTGGCGTCAAGGACCCAGGCAGCTTGAGGCAGCAGACCCCGCTTGGCCCTCCCACCGCCGTCGGCTTATGCACGTCCATTCGGCCCAAGACCCTGAGTGAAGACACCTGTGTGGGGAAGGGCCGGCCCCAAGGCTCTGGAAGTCTAGAGTGACCCAACCTGGGAGTGGCTACAAATCGTCAGCATCCAATCCAAGCCAGCAGCGTCTGCATTCCATTTTCAGATGCACAAACAACAAACAAAGCCAAAACCTCTTACAGAAGTGCACACTGTGAGTGAAGAAAGCCAATCAGAAAAGGCTGCTACCGTCTGACTCCAAATCAGTGCCATTCTGGAGGCGGCGGATCTAGGGGGGCAGGAAGACCAGTGACTGCCAGCGGTTTGGGGACAGAGAGGATGGAGAGCACAGGGGTCTTCGGACAGTGACATTATTCTGGGTGACACCCTGAGCGAGGGCACGTCGTTAAACATTGCGGAAGCCCACAGAATGTGCAACACAAACAGTGAACCCTAATGTAAACCGTGGGCTTTGTAAATGATAATGTGCTATTGGCCCATCAATTGTGACAAATGCACCCCCTAATGCAAAATGTTAGTAAGAGTGGAGCCGGGAGGAGGGATATGGGAAGTCTCTGTACTTTCCACTCTCTTTCTGTAAACCCCAAGCTGCTCTAAAAGTCTACTAAGTATAAACAGCCCGTGGGTGCCCCGCAGCTGACCTGGACTCCCCCAATTCCTCCTCAGTGACTGTCTGCAAGGCCCTGTGTCTGCTCGCTTGGCTCTGAGGGGAGGCAAGGAGGAGAGCTCACCCACCTAACCCCAATCTAGCGCACAGATCACCCCAGACTCGGGGATGAACTGCTGTTCCTGGCTAGCAGAGAACAGAGGGCCAGGTGGAGGGAAGGCGGCCATCAGGAACAGGGGGCAGGAGAGCCCGATGGCCTGGCTTCACCCCCAGACACTGTCAGCAGGTGTGCGCACAGCCCTCCAGCGGGCAGGCCTGAGGAAGCTGCAAGGGGCGGTTCTCCTCACTCTGCCCAGGCAGGTCAGGTGGCAGAGCCCCACCCACCGTGACAGGACAGCAGGCACCCTCTCTCCCAGCCTACACCTCTTGGCAAACTGAGCAGGTGGGGTTGGGGCAGGGTCACCCAGGAATCCAACAGGCTCTGTCATCAGGGCCAGTGGATCCTGCCCCTCGTAGACCTACCACCAGGACTTGAGTCAATGGAACCACCTTACCCAGAACTTCCCAGTGAAGCATAACCTCCCCGGCCACCCTCGCACGTCAGCCTCGGACTCAGGTGCTCGGAGTGTCCAGCGCAGGCTCCAGCGAAGGCAGGGCGCAGGCTGGTCGGTCCCCCTGACTGCCTCCCTCTCAGACGTCGGCGGGCAAGGTAGGCAGGCTGAGGCCTCAAGTCTAACCTGTCACTGCCCACCAGCAGGCAGCTGGCTTAGCTCACAATACGAACGCTGCTCTCCGACACCGTGTGATGGAGACGGATGTCCCCCCTCGTGTGGCATGTTATTTATGTGCTTTTCAATTAGGTGAATAAGCTGAACAGTTATTTCACAAAGCAGTTAGCACAGCCTTGGATGCTGAACTGTGGGCCCGGACGCTTGTGCTGAGTCGCCAGGCGAGGGCTTCCCAGGGGGCACAGCGAGGGGCCTGTCTCTCAGGGCTGCCCACAGGGGGCCCGCACTCATTCACGGCAGGGACGGCTGGCTTCCAGAGGCTCCTGGGCCCCTGCACCGCACAGCCAGCTCCAGGGGCGAGCACATCAGAGGCCTGTGCGGCTGGTGCCTGGAAGGGAGGCCAGGCCTCTGCAGCAGCCTGAAGTTTCAACGCCAGAGTCGGTGGCATGGGCGGTGGACCCTCCCAAGAAGCTCCCACTTGCCTCTCAGCGACCAAGGAGGCACATCCCTTCCCTCTGGGCAGAAACGGTAGCTGGAGTAGCAGGAGCCCTAGCAGCAGGAACAATGGTCTCACATCTAACATGTCACTGTGCACCAGCAGCCAGGCTCTGGCTCGACTCACTGGTCCTCGTGACAGCCTGTGAGGAGGGCATCCTTATCATCCCATTTCACAGAGGGGTACGCCGAGGCCAGGCAGGCTACTGCAGCAGCAAGCAGCAGCTGGGACCCTTACCCCACACCTTGGGACGTGGAATGCCTCATCACGGAAGTAGCAGAAGAACCCCTGGGAAAGAGGGCTTCTCCGGACAGCACCCCCTACCCCCCGGCCCACGGCCTCAGACGGTGCACAGCAGCTGCAGAGCTCAGCCAGACCGCCCGCCCCTATGCATATTTAAGATGACTGCGTGGTCTCCAAACGGGAGTGAGAGTGTCAGTGAGTACGACAGAACAGAGCTGGGCTTCCTCCAGGGAGCAGCGACTCTGTTCACCCCTTACTGCCTACCAGCCAGAGAAGGCACTGCCAACCCACAGAGGTAAGGCCCAATCTGGGGTCACCCAGCTAACCTGGATGCAAGCCCACGTACCCTGACTCTAGGCTGTGCCCTCTCTGGAAGGACAGAGACATAAGAAGCTGTATCCGATGGCCACTGCTATGAAGACAGAGACGAGAAGCGGGTGCAGGTGCCCCTGATATTCCCGAGGTGGGGGGGGGGGGCACTGGCACACTCCCTGCACCTCCCAGGCCAGTTTCCCGGCAGCTCTGATGCCAGCAGAGGACAAAGCTGCTCCCACTTGGCTGCAGCCTCCCAGACAAGAGCCTCCCCCTCTGGGGAGAGATGCCACTGATGTGCCTTTAAAAATAAAACGGGCCTGCTTCCTCCCCATCTGGAAGACTTCTGATCTCCTGATCACATGATTTAGGATATCTCTTAACCACGCCACTTCCCCAGCCTGCAGCACACGCTCGGGCTGCACTTTGGGAGCTGAGGACGTGTATGGTTGGTATTAAGCAGCTGGCCCTTTAATGGGTCCTTCTTATCCGTCCTGAAGAGGGTAGGACCTGCTGGCACATCCAAGTGGCCCATCCCCAGCACCCAGCCCACACCAGAGCCACGCCCTCCCCACATCTTGCCCTTTCTGGGTTCCTAAGGGCCCAACACCTGCTCTGTTTCTCAAAACCACAGGCTTCCATTTTTTTCTCTCGGTTTTGGATTTTAAAAAACATATCATCATGGGCCTAAGCATAAAAAGTAAACTACAGACTTTCAGAAAAAACGAAGGAGGATTTCAGGAGCTCTACAGCGAGGCCCAGGTCTCAGACCTGACAGACTTCACGAATTCAAAGCACCTCCTCTGTGGGAGATGCTGTAAGATAAAAGCAGCTGCCGAGGACGGAAGACACACTTTCAAATGACATGCCCAGCACAGAACAGGATCTAGAACACACAAAGAAAGAACTCTCAAAACGTACAAAACTGAACAACCCAATTGGGAAATGGGCAAAAGACACACACAGACATTTCATCAAAAAGAATATGGAGGAGAGGAGCGGGAAAAATGCAAGTCTTGGGGGAAAAAAGGAAGAATATGTAGATGGCAAGTAAGCGCATAAAACGATGCTCCGCGTCACCAGCCACTAGGGAAGGCCAACTAAACCACAGCAGCATCACTGCACACCTCCCGGGAGCCCAGAGCAAACCCCGACCACACCAGCGCGCCCAGGACGCCCCAGTGCCAGTGGGACCCTGAGGCTGGGCAGCACGTGGAAACGTGTGGCAGTTTCTTAAAAAACTAAACACACAACTGCCATACAATGCAGCAACGATACTCTAGGGCACTTATCCCAGAGAACTGAAAATTTACGTTCACACAAACACATATACATGATCGCTCACAGCAGCGTTATTCGTAACAGCCAAAATCTGGAAACACCCCAGATGTCAACAGGCAAATGATTAAACCAAATGTGGTCTATACATACCACAGTCCCAAAGCCAACCCTCAAACAGGTCCCAAAAGGCTACATGCTGTATGACTGCATTTATATAACATTCTTTAAAAGAAGAATAAGTGGAGAGCATGTTAGAGATTGCCAAGGGAGCAGGCAGGGGAAGTGGGTGTGGCTAGGAAAAGGCTGCAGGAGGGCTGGGGGGGGGCGGGGGGGGTCTGCATCTTGAGTGTACCAACGTCAATATCCTGGTTATGAAGAGTTCTGCAAAGATGCTGTCCTTGTGGAAAGATGGGTTAAGAGTGTACGGGGGTCTCTGCATTATATTTTATAATTGCATGTGAATCTATAGTTACCTCAAAATGAAAAGTTTAATTAAAACAACAAAGAAATCACAGTGGACTCAGATAAAGGGCCTGGTGGGATTCACGTGAACTCAGACAGCCAACCTGCTGCTTCATTTGGTTTCCAGCTTTCCCTTCAAATGTGCAGACCCCTCCCTGCGCCCCCACCCCCACCCCAGTATGACTCAGTGCTGGGGCCAAGCACCAAACACTGCTGGGCTCTCCATCTACGGGTGTGCAGGCCTTGTTAATTACCTCCCACCTTCAGGAAATGAGAAAGGGGTTGGAGATAAAGCTTATTAGACGGGTGTGGCCCTGCCAGGTGTGTCAGGAGTTGCCGTGCTGTTCTGTGCCCTGCGCCCTGCACCAGCAGCACCTGGCCAGCAGGAGGGCTCGTGGGGCATC